CGCTTATGGTGATTTCCTATAACATTTTTAAAAATCCATGTATTTTATTAATGGATACAATTTTGCCCTCCCCTCCCTTTCCCTCTCTTTCCCTTCCCTTGTTTTTGGGAAACAGTCTTTCTCTGTCACCCGGGCTGGAGTGCATGATCTCAGCTCACTGCAACCCCCACCTTCCGATTCAGGCGATTCTCATGCCTCAGCCTCTTGAGTAACTGGGACTACAGGTGTCCACCACAATACCCAGCTAATTTGTGTATTTTTAGGAGAGATGGGGTTTCACCATGTTGGCCAGGCTGGTCTCCAACTCCTGACCTCAGTGATCCACCCGCCTGGATCTCCCGAAGTGCTGGGATTACAGATGTGAGCCACTGCACCTGGCCTAGAATGTTTTCATTACTTCGGGAAAAAAAAAAAAAGCAAAAACTCTGTACATCTTATAATTTACTCCCTGTTTCCCTCCAGTCTCCCAGCCCTGGACAATTACTAATTTACTTTTTGTCTATGTGGAGTTGGCCATCCTACATATTTTATATACATGGAATCATACAATACGTGGTTCTTCCTGGCTGGCTTCTTTCACTTAGCATAATGTTTTTGGGTTTTTTAAAGCATATTTTCAAGGCTTCTCATACTCTAGCATATATCAGTACTTCATTTCTAATAATATACCTTTACTTGGATATACTACATTATTTTTAGCCATTTTTCAGTTGATGGATGTTTGGTTTGTTTCTACTTTTTGGCTATTATGAACATTCATATACAATTTATTCATTTATTTTGAGACAGCGTTGGCTCAAAAAAAAAAAAAAACATAGGCTCAGTCTTTGCTGCCCAGGCTGGTATCAAACTCCTGGGCCTAGTCAATCCTCCCTGCTCAGCCCTCCAAAGGGCTCAGCCTTCCAAAGTGCTGGGATTACGGGAATGAGCCACCCTGCCAGGCCTAACTCCTGTAATATGTACACATTGTTTCGTGGCTATAGTTTTCATTTCTCTTGAATATATACATAGAAGTGGAATTGCTGGGTTATACAGTAACTCTATTTAAGTGTTTGAGGAGCTGCCAAAGTGTTTTCCAAGTGAGGGCACTGTTTTGCATTCTCGCCAACAGTGCAAGAGGGTTCCATTTCTCATATCCTTCATGATATTTTTAATTGTTTCCTTTTTATTATCACCATGCTAGTGGGAGTGAGGAGGTATCTCATTGTCTTTCTGACTTGCATGTCCCTGATAGCTAATGATATTGAGCATATTTTCTTGAACTTATTAGTCGTTTATGTATCTTTTTTGGGGAACTGTCTATTCAGATCCTTGTTCATATTTAAAATGATTTATCTTTTTATTATTGAATTATAGTTATTTGTATATTTTAGATAAAAATCCCATATTAGAATTTTGATTTGCAAGAATTTTCATTCCATTCTGTGGACTTTTTCACTTTCTTGATGGTGTCCTTAGAAGCACAAAAGTTTTTCATTTTTGTGTTGATCTTATCTATTTTTTCTTTTGTTTTTGTTCTTCTGCTGTGATATTTAAGAAATCATTGTATAATTGAAGTTCATGAAGATTTACACTTATGTTTTCTTCTAATAGCTTTGTAGTTTTAGCTCTGACATTTGGTCTTTGATCCATTTTGAATTGTTTTTGTATATGGTGTGTGGTACGGGTCAAATTTTATTCTTTTGCTTGTTGATACCTGTCTGTTGCAACATCATTTGTTGAAAAGACTATTCTTTCGCCATTGAATTGTCCTGGAACCCTTGCCAAAGTCAGTCTTGTCGTTTCTCATACTGCTTTTATGGGCTTGTGTTTTTCATTAGAAATTTATTTCAACGCCTGTGCAAATAAAAACAATTTTTTTTTCCTGAGATGAGCTCAGCTCACTGCAGCCTCCGCCTCCCGGGTTCAAGCGATTCTCCTGTCTCAGCCTCCCGAGTAGCTGGGATTACAGGCACCTGCCACCGTGCCTGGCGAAGTTTTTTCTATTTTTAGTAGAGACAGGGTTTTGCCATGTTGGCCAGGCTAGTCTCAAACTTCTGACCTCAGTTGATCCATCCACCTTGGCCTCCCAAAGTGCTGGGATTACAGGTGTGAGGCACTGTATCTGGCCAAAAGTAAAAATTTTTTAAATTAAAAAAAGAAATTTATCTTGGTGTTAGTGTGATGCAGGGATACAGCTTAGCATTTTTCTCAGATGGCTACCTGTTTCTCTAATACAGTTTATTTAATAGCGAACTTTTCTTCAATGATGATTTTTTTTTTTTGAGACAGAGTCTGGCTCTGTCACCCATCCGTGTCATCCAGGCTGGAGGGCAGTGGCATCATCTCGGCTCACTGCAGCCTCTACCTCCCAGGTTCAAGCAATTCTCGTGCCTCAGCCTCCCGCGTAGCTGGGCTTACTGGTGACTGTCACCGCACCTAGCTAAATTTTGTATTTTTAGTGGAGATGGGGTTTCGCCCTATTGCCCAGGCTGGTTTCTAACTCCTGGATTCAAGCAATCCACCGGCCTCAGCCTCCCAAAGTGCTGGTATTACAGGTGTGAGCCACTGCACCGGCCTTCTCCACTGATATGAAATGCCGTTTTAAATCATGTCTTGTGGTCTTGGAACTATTTGGATCCATTTATTGGATATCTTTACCATTCAGTGATCCATTTCTGCACCTGTATCATCCTCTTTTAATGTTTTTTTTTTTTTTACAATTTATTTCATTATATGGTAGGACTAGTTTTCCCTCAATAATCTTTTTTTACAAAAATTTTTGTTTGGCCTTTTTTTCTTGTTAATTTTCCCATGTGAATTTTAAAATTCATTTTTTCTAGTTTTTCATTCACCCAAGTAAAAATTCTGCCAGTATCATTTTACTGGACATGAAGAATTTTATGGGTTAATTTAGTAAACGCTGATGCATTTATGATATTGAGTCTATTTGTCCAAGAACATTTATTCATGTTTTTCTCCATTTATTTAAGGTTTTTCTCTATTTATTTAAGTTGTGTGTGTGTGTGTGTGTGTGTGTGTGTGTGTTCCTCAGCAGCATTTTATTTATTTATTTTTCTCAGTAGCATTTTAAGGTTGTCTTAAAATAGATATGCAAATATCTTGTTAAAGTCAGTCTTAGGTCTTCTATTTTTTTGCTGTGGCTGTTGCTATAGTCTTCTATTATGCTCTCTGTATTTTTTTTATTGCTATAGTCTTCTGTGTTTTTGTTTGTTTGTTTGTTTGTTTGTTTTTTGTTACCGCAGCACTTTTATTTTTTCTTACACAGTGATGTGTTGCTGGGGCCTAATAATCTCACATAACAGTAGAAAACAAAAATTTGTTGTCATCTCTTTAAAGAATTGAGAATTGCGTACAAAAAACCTTACATAAATTAAAAGGATGAATACATTTACACAGGCGTAAATGCAGTCCGCTTCCAACTCAAAGCAAGTGACAGCCCACACTGTTCTGGCAGGAAAACGTCAGCTAAGCAAGGAAACTGGGTCCTATGACTTGCATTTTCCAACCCTGACAGACTGGCAGGGCAGAAACCACTGGTTCAGGAGCCCTTGCCAGCCCCCAGAGAAATCCCAGAACACTCAGCACTGACACATGAATACCCTGCCCATGTCGGAGACTGCTGGCTATGCAGACCCACCAAGCCACAGACTTGTGTGCCACAAGCATGTTCTTACCTGATCCACAAAATGACCAAGCCATATGTGCTAAGGGTTGAAATCAAAGATATCTACACAGTATTGACCAAGTACCAAGGGCAACGGTTAACTTCAATACAAGGTCAAAATCAGCAACAAGTTCTACAACCCAGTGCTGATACCAGATACAAGCTTTAACGACTTTTTTTTTTTTTTTTTGAAGGTGTATTCCAGTTTCGTGAGGCTAGCATGAGGTATATGCATTGGCCAGGGGCAAATTTATATAGTTCTGAATTAACCCATGCAGCAAACGCTACGCATCACTCGCGGTCCATTTAGAATCATTTGCGGTGGACGATGGAGGGGACCGGCTTGTACTCCTGCTTGCTAGTCCACATCTGCTGGAAGGTGGACAGTGAGGCCAGGATGGCGCCGCCGATCCACACTGAGGACTTGCAGTCTGGGGATGCGGTGATCTTGATCACGGTGCTGGATGTCAGGGTGCTGGGATTCACTTGGGATGGCTAGCAAAATATTAGGGAAATATTAGGGAAAGTTAGAAGATTATAGTCTCAAACCTTTTGGAAGGCTGAAAAGTTTTTTTTTTTTTTTTTTTTTTTGAAATGGAGTTTCGCTCTTGTTACCCAGGCTGGAGTGCAATGGCGCGATCTCGGCTCACTGCAACCTCCGCCTCCTGGGTTCAGGCAATTCTCCTGCCTCAGCCTCCTGAGTAGCTGGGATTACAGGCACGCGCCACCATACCCAGCTAGTTTTTTGTATTTTTAGTAGAGACGAGGTTTCACCATGTTGACCAGGATGGTCTCGATCTCTCGACCTCGTGATCCACCCGCCTCGGCCTCCCAAAGTGCTGGGATTACAGGCTTGAGCCACCACGCCCGGCCCAAGCTGAAAAGTTTTAATGGAACAGGCTAAAAGCAGCCAGTTCTTCTTAAAGTATTACATCATAAGGTAAAAATTTAAAGACAATAAAAGCTTCCCTAGTTAAGTCTGTTTATCCCACATTCCTTTGTCTCTACTCTGATTTGTTTGCCTATGTAAACTTTGTGCTGGATGGTCTTCTCAGGAGAAAGCTGAGAAAGAATTACCCATTAATGGTGTTTATTCTAGGCCCCCGCAAACCAAAACCTTTTCATCATTCGTAAAACCACTCTTTTTTTTTTTTTCGAGCTGAAGTTTTATTTAAAACATAAAAGAAATGTTCCCCCAAAATGCTGGTGAACACAGCAAAAGGATATGACACAGTGCTCTCTTCCTACGAGTTAGCCAGCCTATCCAAGTACAGGGTAATATACAGTACTTAATGCTGGTAGAATTTCACAGTAGTTTAGTCTTAAGGATTTATCTGTGCCTAGATTATGAAGAGATTCTCAGTGTGTGATGATTAGTTCTGGGTTTACACCTTACTGGGCATGAACAAGAGCCCCTGCTCCTCGGCCATAGCCAAATCCCTTGGGCCCAAAGTTCTTCGCATAGCATCCTTTACAATAGATTTCACCTTCTTTTTCAGTCAGAGTTGTTGATTCAAGACTCTTCCCACACTTTGCACATCGGAAACAGTTTTTGTGCCAGGGCTTTCCAGTTCCAATGATCTTCTCGGCAGCATATACAGAATCCCCACATCTGGAACACTTCTCAGCACCTCCGTATTTCTGAGCAAATTTAGAAGTGTTTGGATTTGTCGTAGGCCTGTGAGGCTGAACACTCTCTGGTTTGATGCCCAGCCTCTCGCCACAGTCCATGTTAAGCGTGCCAGCGCCCCGGCCGTAACCGTAGCCTTTTGGCCCATACTTCTTTCCACAGCAGGATTTGCAGTAGATCTCTTCATCTACTTCATGAATTGCCACTGTTGTGCTATCTAAATTTTTCCTGCAAACCATGCAGAGAAAGCAGCAGCGGTGGAAGCTCCGGCCATCACACTGCACCTCTTCTGCGTGGTACACGGTCCTCCCACAGGCCCCACACCTGTTTCCACCGCCCTAGACAGGCGTTTTGAGTTAGAGGTGGGAGCACGCACCGCAGGCGGAGCTAGCAAGGCTGGGCTGGAGGGAGGGTCCAGGGAGTCCGAGATCCCAAAACCACTCTTTTAACCATGTTAATTATCCACAAGTGTGTTAACTTAGAACCTCTGTTATTTAATCTATACTAAATACAAAAAGAACAAGGAGTCAGAATCAGCTGCAGTCGCCCTCTAAAAGCAGCTAAGGACCATCCCTAGCCCACTCAAATTTACCGTACTGGGTGTACAAGTGCATTCATTCATCCGTGGTTAAGTCAAGGTCTGCAGAACAAACCTCCACAAGTTGTAATCAGCGTCTCGGGTTGTAACTCCAACGTGATCCTCATCACACTAGGGCTGTGATCTCCTTCTGCATCCTGTCAGTGATGCCTGGGTACGTTCTGGTGCCACTGGACAGCACCATGTTGGCAAACAGGTCTTTGAGGATGTCCACGTAACACTTCATGATGGGGTTGAAGGTGGTCTTGTGGATGCCACAAGATCCCATGCCCAGGAAGGATGGCTGGAACAGCGCCTCCTGACACCAGAACCTCTCGCTGACAATGGTGGAGACCTGGCCATCAGGCAGCTCATAGCTATTCTCCAGGGAGGAGGAGGATGCAGTGGTGGCCATCTGCTGAAAGTCCAGGGCGATGTGATGGAGGATCTCCTGCTTGGCCACGGTGAGGAAGGTGTAGCCACATTTGTGAGGATCTTCATGAGGTAGTCGGTCAGATCCTGGCCAGCCAGGTCGAGATGCGGATGGCATAGGGGAAGGCATAGCCCTCGTAGATGGGCACTGTGTGGGTGGCCCTGTCTCCAGAGTCCATCCCCATGTCCCCCGCAAAGCCAGCTTTGCATTAGCCGGAGCCATTGTCACTCACTGAGCGCAGGGACTTCTTCCTTTGTGGCTGGCAGAGGAGAGGGGCAGTGGAGCGACGGGAGAGCAGGTGTGCGGGCTGGTGGCGGTGACTGGGCTGCTGTTCTGCTACGTCTCCCACTTAGCTGTTGTTAATTGTTAGAATTTGAAGAGAGATGGATATAATTTAATCTTCTGTTTATTTTTTAAACTGTTTTCTCCTTGAGACTTAAAAATAGGCGTTTAAGCATCTTCTATCTATGCTGCCAATTACTTTGTTCACAGTTGGGGATTGCAAAGTTATTTGGCACATAGAGCAGCAATTTTGAAATCGTGTCATTTAAAAAAATGTTTTTAACTAAAGGAACATATTTTTATTTAAAATGCATACATGCATTTATGCATAAATGCACATTTATTTTTTTAACTAAAATTGTTAATATTAGTAGATAAGAAATAAGTAGAACCTAGAAGTATAAATGTATCAGCTTATGTTTTAAATTGGTCCCTTAGGAAGTTGGTATTTTAGTTGGAGAGAAAATATACATATACCTAAAAAATTAATTGCTTCTATACGAAAGCATATTAGTTATATATAAGTGATTTCAGAATTCAGGGGTATATCTGTCACTTTAAAAATGGCTAGATTCTCATTTGGCTTTATAGTATTTGCCTTCTCCATAAAGCAGCCATTACTCACTGTAGGTGTCTGCTTTAATCTTACCCGAACCAATGAATTTTATAATCCATAAGCTGAAAAAAAAAAAAAAGGCTAAATAGTGTCACTTATCAGATAAAAATAGGTCTGGCTTCTCTTCTCCTCTCCTCTCTCCTCTATCCTCTTTTCTTTTTTGAGATAGTCTCCCTCTTGTTGCCCAGGCTGGAGTGCAATGGTGCAATCTCAGCTCACTGCAACTTCCGCCTCCCAGGTTCAACCTACCTCAGCCTCCCAAGTAACTGGGACTACAGGCATGCGCCACCACACCCAGCTAACTTTTGTATTTTTAGTGGAGATGGGGTTTCACCATGTTGGTCAGGCTGATCTCAAAGTCCTGACTTCAGGTGATCCACCCACCTCCGCCTTCCAAAATGCTTGGATTTTAGGTGTGAGCCATCACACCTGGCCTGGCTTCTTAGAAATGTTTGAGATAAGCAGTGGCTTAAATGAGAGAAAAGTTTATTTTCTCTTCAAGAATTAAAAGGTTGGGCTGGGCACAGTGGCTCATACCTGTAATCCCAGCACTTTGGGAGGCTGAGGTGGGTGGAGGGGGGAATCCCCTGATTTCAGGAGCTCGCGACCAGCCTGACCAACATGGAGAAACCCTGTCTTTACTAAAAATACAAAAAATTAGCTGGGCGTGGTGGCACCTGCCTGTAGTCCCAGCTACTTAAGAGACTGAGTCAGGAGAATTGCTTGAACCCAGGAGGCAAAGGTTTCAGTGAGCCAAGATTGCACCACTGCACTCTTGCCTGGGTGACACGGCAAGACTCTGCCTCAAAAAAAAAAAAAAAAAAAAAAAAGGCTGGGTGGCGTGGCTTATGCCTTTAATCCCGACACTTTGGGTGGCCGAGGCGGGCAGATCACCTGAGGTCGAGAGTTCGAAACTGGCCTGACCAACATGGAGAAACCCCGTCTCCACTAAAAATACAAAAAAATTAGCCAGGCCACCTGTAATCCTAGCTACTCAGGAGGCTGAGGCAAGAGAATCACTTGAACCTGGGAGGCGGGGGTTTCAGTGAGCTGGGATCGTGCCATTGCACTCCAGCCTGGGCAACAAGAGTGAAACTCCATCCCCCCCCCCACAAAAAAAGAGAATTCAGAGGTTGGCTGTCTGGGGCTGTAGGCAGTGCCATGCCTTCCAGGACCCAGCTCCTTCCATCTCCCCAGCACTGCCTTGCTTTCTCTAGGCCCTCGTGTCGCCCTAGATGGCTGCTGTGGCACCAGAACTTGTATTCTATTCTAGGCAGCAGGAAGAAGAAGAGAGGAGGAGGCCAAAAAGAGCTTTCCTCAAGTTTTATTCAATAATTACCTCTTTGACCAGTGCACAATCACATGACCACACTAAGCTGCAAGGGTCAGGGGCAGCTGGGAAATGTAGTCTGTTAGCTGGGGTATTCTGGGGCCCCAGATAATTATGGGAGTTCTGTTGCTAAGGAATAAATGGAGAATGTTCACTGAACTGGCAGCGTTGGCCACAGTCACCTTCATCTTAGCCTTGAGCCTCATTCTCTGCATCCTTGACCTTCATCCCTTCCTCGTTCAAGTCCTGGCACAGGAAGTGCTCGCTCAGTCCTTGCGGAATACGTTTCTGTGCTTTGCCCATTTCTAGCCCATCTCTGGGCTCACCCCATCGCCACATCTCATTCATTCTCTGACACCAGTCAGAGCCTTATCCCATCTCTGAATCAATGATGTCATCACCGTCACCCAAAGAAGGGAGGGAATTCGGCTGGGGGGAGGCTTTTCGGATGGTCATGCATGACAGGAAACCCAGAGAAGGGATGAGATTGAGGAACAAGATCGGCCAGGAAGATGTGGAGTCAGAAATATCCATTCCAACATCTCTCGGTAATTTTGTTTAAAAATCTGTATCAGAATGACCATGTTGAGATACCTGTTTTCTATAAAAATGAAAACTACAAGCATATTTTGTTAATGTAAAGGTAAGATGTGTTCAATGTAGAAAAAATAGAAAATACAGATCAGAAAGGAAGCAAACAAGGAAAATAAAAAAGCATGTGTTATTCTCACCAGTTTTCACTGCGGGGGACATTTGCTTTCAGATCTTTTACATGTTTAAAATTGATCCATGCAGAGTTTGTGGAAGGATATATGGGCTTGTACTATTTATAACATTTTGAACTTGTGAAGCCTTATTTTAAAAGTTCTATTTTGTCTCTCAGTTCAGCTTTATCTTTAAAATTGAAAGGCTTTCTATGTAAATTCTGCCTTTTTGATGACGGAAAACTACAGTGCAGTGGGCAAAGGGCACGGAGCAGGAGAGAGCACGAGTTCGTCAAGAGAACTGGGTCATTTGTAGATGGAATAATAAGTAAGGAAGGTCTTACGTAATCCAGAATGGAGTGGACGAACTTTACAGAGCCATCAAAGACAATGGGGGTGCCACAGCGAAAGCTTGAGGTCTTCAGTCTAAAGGCTGACTGTGAAACTCAGCATCCTTTCCTGTGAAATGAGAACTGAGAACTCCTAATTCAGAAACAGTTGCTACAAGTAGATCAAATAAGATATGTGAAGCATTATTTAACCCATAAAGTACTACCACTGGGCCGGGCACAGTGGCTCATGTCTGTAATCCCAGCACTTTGGGAGGCCAAGGCAGGTGGATCATGTGAGGTCATGAGTTCAAGACCAGCCTGGCCAACATGGTAAAATCCCATCTCTACGAAAAATACAAAAATTAACTGGGCATGGTGGTGGGTACCTGTAATCCTAGCTACTTGAGAGGCTTAGGCAGGAGAATTGCTTGAACCCAGGAGGCAGAGGTTGCTATGAGCTGAGATCATGCCGTTGCACTCCAGCCTGGGTGACAAGAGCGAAACTCTGTCTCAAAACAAAAACAAAAAAAGGCAACACTTATAAGCTATTAGAGCTGAAGGAATTTTTTATAACATCTAGTCCATATGCCTTTTAATGTTGAGGAAATGGAGACGCAGTGTTTTCTTGCCTTAATGTACCTCTGTTGAGAATGGGAAATGCTTTTTATGCTGAGCACTTGTACGTTTGCACTGAGATAATGACGATGAATTGCTTTCCAGGTACAATATGGCTGTGAAAGTTGTGCCTTGCACAACCAAAGACATTCGCCAAAGGGCCGTGGGATTGGGCATTTGGTTTATAGTCCATTCACCAAACTGTGTGCCTTCAGAGTCGTATCTTCTCTTAGAGCTGCCTTTTCTTCATTTGCCTGAAGGTACCATATGGTCCTGTGGAGGCTCAGTCTTTATCCATGGGGTTCTTGACCAGTTATCCCTGGCTGATAGCAGTGTTGCTATTGTGGGCCCCAGCACCTTGGGGAGGTGAATAAATGTCATTTCTGGGAAACCAGTTGCTGTTCTCATGCCCTTTGGTTAGGAAGCGGTCAGTGGCTGCAGATGGGAGATGGCCAGTCTTCCCTTCCACCTCCTGTCTCGAACCACATTTTCCTCACTGGAAGCAAAGGAAGTTATTGGTGGCAAACTTTGCACAACCAGGTATTGTTCCTCTAAGGTTTTAGGCATGAAACATGAAATGCTTAGTTTTCCCCCTCCATTTCACCTTATCAGAGTGGTGTTCTGATAGCCTCAGATCTGTTGTACTGACACAGAGGCGTTATCCCCACCTCCTGACCTTACCTCACCTGCGCTCTGGTTCCTCCCTGTCCCTTGGTCTAACTCAGCCCAGCTCTGGACCTTAAAGATCCTTTTCACCTACCCAGAGCGTGGCCGGCGATGGTGGCAGGCTAGGCATTCCTGTGCTTCGGCCAGTGGCAGGCCCCTAGGTGCAGTTCAACAGACAGCACTCTCATGATTTGAGTTGTTTCTCGATTAAACTCAAAAACAAGGCCTAGAACTTCCAGACACCATAGTAAGGCTTGATTTGTTTGCAGGCTCCTTGTCCTTTCCGGCTATTTTCTGCCTGCCCTAGGCTGCCAGAGTTCTGAAATAACTGACTGGAGATACCTGTTGCGGTGTTTCCTTCTCTCTTTTTCATCCCTGGGATGCTTATAAATTCCTTTTTTTTTTTTTTTTTTGAGACAGAGTCTTACTCTGTCACCCAGACTGGAGTACAGTGGTGTACTCGGGGCTCACTGCAACCTCAACCTCCTGGTTTCAAGCCATTCTCCTGCCTCAGCCTCCAGAGTAGCCGGGATTACAGGTGCCTGGCACCACGCCCAGCTAATTATTGTATTTTTAGTAGAGATGGGGTTTCACCATGTTGGCCAGGCTGGTCTCAAACTCCCGACCTCAGGTGATCCACCCACCTTGGCCTCCCAGAGTGCTGGAATTACAGGCATGATCCACTGCTCCTGGCCAACACTTATAAATTTCTAAAAGTACTGCAGGGCTTCTGGAAACAGGGGTAAGGAGGAGTCTTACCTTCCCATAAGGTTTTATCCACACATCCTCTGTGTGGAGGGAGGAGGAATAAAGTGGGGTGGGTAGGAAAGAATGGTGTGAACTGGAACTAAAATCTAGTTTACTACAACATACCAACTGGCAACTCACCTGAGGATTCTGATACCACGTTAGGAAACCTTATCTAGATGTTTTGAACATGAACTTGCGTGTTTCCTCCTGGGAGCCTTTGTCACATATTTGAAATAACAAGCACTTGGAGTGCAGCTCCAAGTCCAGACTACCTAGTACTGGTTCTTCTGCCTTGAGCAAACCAGTTGACTTTTTTTGAACCTCAATTCTATCATCTAATGCAGAGATGATAATACTGTCTGAGTTGTTGTGAAGATCACACTGAGAAAGTACCAGGCAAAAATACAGTGCTTATATTAACTAAATTCAATTCAATGTAAGACGCTTATGATTGTATTTAATAAGATGCACAATTGTTTTAAATACCACTAAGGAAAAAAATGTTGTCAACTAAGCCAAGATACGTCACTTTCTTCTCACTTAGAGTTTTAAACAAATTGAAAGAGATTGAGGGGGTGCTTAGACAGTTTTTATCATGACTCGTTCTTGTGCATATGTAAAAAGGAACGTATAAGTGACATACATTAAGGTATTCCTAAATTTTCTTCCTGCCTAATAACTTGTCAGTGTGTTTACCGATACCTGAGGCTTTTCCAGATACTGCCTGTGTGCCATAATGAACTTGGAGGAGGCGGCATTTCTCAGGACAGATATTGCCTGTGTGCCGTCATGAGCTTGGGGGAGGTGGCATTTCTTAGGATAGATATTGCCTGTGTGCCATCATGAGCTTGGGGGAGGTGGCATTTCTTAGGACAGATATTGCCTGTGTGCTGTCATGAGCTTGGGGGAGGTGGCATTTCTTAGGACAGATACTGCCTGTGTGCCATCATGAGCTTGGGGGAGGTGGCATTTCTTAGGACAGATATTGCCTGTGTGCCATCATGAGCTTGGGGGGGGTGGCGTTTCTTAGGACAGATACTGCCTGTGTGCCATCATGAGCTTGGGGGAGGCGGCATTTCTTAGGAGGGTGCTTTGTGTTGTCTTCGTGATGTTCTTCCAAGCCTGCGACCCCAGTTCTGCACAGCTGATGTGCATGCATAAGCAGTGCCACCCACTTCCTGCCTGGCACATGGCCTTCTGCAACTATAGGACATCCTGATATCAGAAATGGTAAAATGTAAAAATATTTATGTGTTAGAATTAATGAAATAGAAGCTGGGCATGATGGCTCACGCCTGTAATCTTTGCAAGGCCAAGACAGGCAGATCACTTGAGGCCAGGAGTTTGAGACCAGCCTGGCCAACATGGCAAAACCCCATCTCTACTAAAAATATAAAAATTAGCTGGGTGTGGTAGTACATGCCTGTAGTGCCACCTACTCAGAGGCTGAGGCACGAGACTCACGTGAACGCAGGAGGCAGAAGTTGCAGTGAGCTGAGATTCCACCACAGCACTTCAGCCTGGATAACAGTGCAAGACTCTATCTCAAAAAAAAAAAAAAAAGAATTTATGAAATATAGTAGTATGATTTATTCCATCATTATTTCATCGTTTTAGCTTTGAGAGGCTGTATATAAAAGCAGACAATGGCCAGATCAAACATAAAATAGAATTTTGACCGACAATCCACAGCCCAGGACACCAGTCCCTTATCTGCAATAAGCAGCCTAGGAAGCCAGCCTGCTCTAAGTCAAACTTCCCAGAAGCCAGATTGCTATCTTGGAAAACAATCCTGGAAGCTCCACAGTAACTTCTGTAACAATCAGCCCCGAATGACCAGGACTTGATTAATAACTAGTGGCTACCTTCATTTTAATCCCTTCTTCCAACTTTGGACCAGTAAGAGAAAGCCAGACATGCTTTCTTAATCAACCACGTAGGATGCCCTACTTCTACTGAGCCTGAGCCGCCTGCAGCCTTCCCCGAAACAGCCTCCAATTACAGCACACCTGAGGCTTTCCCTTTCTCCACTCTAAAGCTTTTCCTCTGCTCTGCCTGTCTTTGAGTCTCTGCTAAACATAGGTGATGGTAGCTGACTGCCTCGCTATAACAAGCTCTCAAGAAATAGCCTTTGTGTTTCTCATTTGGTTGGTCTTCGTTTATTTACATAGCTTGTAAGGAGAGTGAGCGTAAAATTCCTTGACTCTTCTTAGAAGCTGTACTGTCTGTTTGAATAAACTCTGGATGGATGCCTGGGATGTGGCTCTGTGATGTGACCAGGACAGGCTTCCCACTGACATGAATGAATGATAGAAATAATTTTGGATGTTTCCACATTTACCTATTTTCTTCCTTACTCTTTTCTGTTTTTCCTTTGAAGTTCTTGAGGTCAAATCTGGTTCCTGAAAAACATCAAAGAAAGCTTGCACCAAACGCTCTTCAGGGCTGCTTCAGAAGCCTGGCATCACCCACTGTGCAGTGCAGAATGGCAGCCCCTACAGGTGTGCTCTCTTCATTGCTGCTGCTGGTGACAATTGCAGGTAAACCTCTACCCTGGAGATACCTGTGTTGGGCATGAGCTTCTTGTCTAGTGTAAGCAACTCAGATCCACCCGAAGTGAAGGGGCTGTTGGTTTGCTTTGCAATAGAATTCTTTTACATGTAAAAGCATGAAAGGCAGACCTCATGCATGAGTGGTTTTCTGTAAACAGGAATTTAAATTTATTATCATGACTGTTTCATGGGAAAATAAAATCACATTTCAAATATACTAGGAAAACTTTATGTTTGTATATTGAAAAGAATTGCATACTAGATCTAACTGGTAAAGCCAGATTTTCTTTGGTCAGAAATCTTTATTTTTACTATACTCACTTTGTTTATGGTGGATACACTCATGGCAAAACATCATTGGTGAGCATCATTTATGGTGATCCATGGCTAGGCTGGTCCAGCTCAGCCCCTCCGAGTGTACCAGGCGTTAAGGGTGGTGATATGACTAGAAAAACTGTTATGTACAGTTTGATAAAGTGAAGCAAAGCCATAATGAAGATGACCTTAGAGAGACCCTTCTTTATTTTATTTTATTTTTTACTTTTTGAGACAGAGTCTCACTCTGTCTCCCAGGCTGGAGTGCAGTGGCGCGATTTCGGCTCACTGCAACCTCTGCCCCACCAGGTTCAAGTGATTCTCCTGCCTCAGCTTCCTGAGTAGCTAGGATTACAGCGCCTGCCACTACGCCCGGCTAATTTTTGTATTTTTAGTAGAGACTGGGTTTCACCATCTTGGCCAGGGTGGTCTTGAACTTCTGACCTCATGATCCACCCACCTCAGCCTCTGAAAGTGCTGAGAATACAGGTGTGAGCTACCGCACCGAGCCGAGAGACCCTTGTCAAAATATGGTTTCTCATGCCACACTCCAGACCTACTGGATTAGAACTCCTGGGTGTGGCTTGGGGATCTCAGTTTTCAGCAGCACCTGGAGATGATTTAGAAGCACTCAGATTCTGAGCAGCACCATCTTACATGTGAGGGCCACTCCAGACAGTCCTGCCACTGGAAAAGCCCTGCCATGACTGGGGGGGCTCCACCACCCAGCTTATTAAACTCACCGCTGCTTAGTGTGTAAGACAAAATGTCCCCTTATTTCATGTTTAATATACTCCAGAGAATACCTTCATTCGTGTTTTACATGATGTCATTAATGTTTAGAGACCCATATTTTTTTCCTTACAAATATCTACTTTTTCATTCCTTTTGCCTTTTTCTTATGAGGTGGTATTCTCCGTTAATTCAAAATATCAGTACCTGAGTTATGGCATCCCAATAAATGTTATTTGCAATTTGCTCATCTTCCATCTTTTTTTGTTGGGTGGGGGGCAGTTGGCAGAACTAGCTGAGGCTTTATTTTCCAAAAAATCCCAATTGAATTGTTTTGTAGCTAGAGGCATAGGCAAGTCGGGAGTGAGCTCCCCTGTGGGTGGGCTGAGGGACGGGCTGAGCCTCAGGTGGGTCTCCTGTCCCCTGTGCTCCCCTGCACAGCAGCCTCCCCCACAGGCTCTGGGGCAGCCACAGGAGGGGGTGGTCTGGGAGGGGCTGCTGTGGCCATTCACTTGGGCAGGACCATCAGAGGACTCAGACACCAGCTTTCTGTCATGGATCTCGATCTTCTTCACAACCATGGCCCTGAAGGAGCTGGTGCGGCTGAAGGAGCTGGAGCACCCACCAGAGCCAAAGCTGGAGCCCAGACTGTAGCTGAGGCTAGGGCTTGTGAGGCCCCCATAGGCCAAGCTCAGTTCATCTGAGTAGCCACTAGTGGTCTTCATACAGAAACGCTTGTTCAGCATCCCAGACTCCAGCCGGCTCCCCTCGTCCTCCAGCAGCTTCTTGCAGGTGACGATCTCGATGTCCAGGTTGGCTTGATGATCATCAGCTCCTGGTACTCACGCAGCTTCTGTGCCATGTCCTGCGTGGCACCTGCAGGGCAATCTCTAGCCAGGACAGCTTGGCACTGGCATCCTTAATGGCCAGCTTCCCATGCTGCTCAGCATCCACGATGGTACCCTCTAGGGAAGCCCTCTGGCCTTTGAGGCCCTCAGTCGCAGCCTGGAGCCAGCTGCTGTTCTGGTTCATCTCAGGGATCTCCGTCTTTGCATGATGCAGATCATCCCTGTGCTTCCCAGCCAGCGCCTGCACCTCCTCATGCTTGATCTGGTGTAGGCTCTCAGCCCCACCCCCGCTGCGGTTGGTGATCTCCTTGCACTGGGCCTTGACCTTAGCAATGATGCTGTCTCTGTCCAGGGAGCGGCTCTTGTCCATGGACAGCACCACGAATCTGTCCGACATCTGGGACTGCAGCTCCCGGATCTCCCCTTCATGCAGCTGTCTGAGGAAGCTGATCTCATCATCCATCCCCCACCAGGAAAGACTCCAGCTCTACCTTGTGCGTGTAAGCTTCATCCACATCTTTCTTGATGAGGACAAATTCATTCTCCATCTCTAAAATTATTTGTGGTTCTTTTTTTTTTTGGAGATGGAGTCTTACTCTGTCACCCAGGCTGGAGTACAATGGCATGATCTTGGCTCACTGCAACCTCTGCCTCCTGGATTCAAGCAATTTTCCTGCCTCAGCCTCTTGAGTAGCTGGAATTACAGGCACCCACCACCTATGCCCAGCCAGTTTTTGTGTTTTTAGTAGAGACAGGGTTTCACCATGTTGGTCCAGCTGGTCTTGAACTCTTGCCCTCAGGTGATCCACCCACCTTGGCCTCCCAAAGTGCTGGGATTACAGGTGTGAGCCACTGCACCCAGCCTTCTGTAAAATTACTGATGTCCTTGTACTTGTTCATGAAGTCCTCCACCAGCCCTGGCATGTTGCCAAACTCAGCCTCTAGCTTCAGCTCTTCCTGGCCCAGCATGTCCAGCTGCTGCCGAAAGTTGATGTAGCTCTCGAATGTGCAGTCCGTGTTCATCTGAGCCGTCTTCTGCTGCTGCAGGAGGCTCCACCTGCTCTCCAGCATCTTGTTCTGTTGCTCCAGGAACCACGCCTTGTTGATAAAGGAGGCAAACTTGTTGTTGAAGGTCTTGATCTGTTCCTTCTCTTGGGTCCAGATGGCCTGGATGTTGGAGTCCACCTCCACCTTAAGGGGGGCTCAGTAGGCTCTCATTGACTGTGATGGCTGTGATGTCTTCCATACCACTGGCCCCACCATAGCCTCCACCCAGACCCATACTGGTTCCCAGGCCACCTTGGAAGCTGCTGCTGCTGCCCACTCTAGAGAAGGTCAAGGAGCTGATGCAGGCACTGGGCCCACTTGTATAGGAGTGGCTGCTAAAGGACCAGAGGCCAGAGGCGGACACCTTGTAGGACTTCTGGGTCACCTTGATGGACATAGTGGAGGCAGGAAGGTTAAACCAGGTGGAGATTCAAGAAGGTGCAGGTGCTTCTAGGTGCTTTTTTTTTTTTTTTCTCTGAGATAGGGTCTTGCTCTGTCACCTGGGCTGGAGTGCAGTGGTGCCATCATGGCTCACTACAGCCTCAACCTCTTGGGCTTAAGTAGTCCTCCCACATTGGCCTCCCAAAGTGCTGGGATTACAGGTATGAGCCATTATACTCAGACTTCTCTTTCTTGTTTACCTTTGTAAATGCTAACCAGTGATTTTATTAATTTGTCAACAATCATCAAGTAACTACTGTGTCCACAGATGGGGCTAGGATTTATAGAGCATACAGACATGGGCAGCAGGCTCCCTGGTCTCTAGTTTGATAGTTCTTGAAGAGCTTCCTTGAGTGTGTCTAATAGATTCTGAAGTAATTATGGCAACTTGGACCAAATGAAGAATGATTTCGTTGTTGGGAGCCCCACCTTCTCAAACTTTAGCCTTAAGATCTTTGCTTTTAAAGTGTGTATATCGAAACAGTCCCCATTCAGGTGATGTTTTGCAGGACAAAGGAATGGTGCATGCCAGAGGTGTGCCAAGGAATCTGCCACCTTCAGCTGCACTCAACATTGCCCTAAGCTTTGAGTTGAAGGCGTCACCAGACAAAGGTCTACTTGCCTCCCTTGACAGTTTGCTTTCCTGTCAATTTATCCATCCATCCAATTTAAAATAGCCTGTGAGACTTAAAAAAAATCAATTAACAACAACAATGCAACAAAGACATGATGCTATTTTGTAAAGTAAACCTGTGTAATTGAATTTTAGTGAGGAGCAAAATATTATAAATAATATAAGTAAGTGCAGTGAAACTATATGAAGAGAGAACAGATGGATGGAAGGGTGCATGGACAGGTGCAGGAATCTCTGGATGGATAAGTAGATGGATGCCTGGAGGGATGGAGGGAGGGATGGATGGATGGATGAGTCGGTGGATGTGTGGAGGTTTGGAAGGATAGATGGATGAGTGGAAAGGTAGAAGATCAGAAAGATGGATGGATGAGTGGGTGGATGTGTGGAGGAATGGAGGAATGGATGGATGGATGAGTGGGTAGATGCATGAAGGGATGGAGGGATGGATGGATGGATGAGTGGGTGGATGCATGGAGGGATGGGTGGATGAGTGGGTGGATGTGTGGAGGGATGGAGTGATGGATGGATGGATGGATGAGTGGGTGGATGCATAGAGGGATGGAGGGATGGATGATGGAAAGGTAGAAGATTAGAAAGATGGATGGATGAATTGGTAGATGTGTGGAGGGGTGGAGGGATGGATGGATAAGTGAGTGGATGTGTGGAGGGATGGAGGGATGGATGGATGAGTGGAAAAGTAGAAGATTAGAAAGATGGATGGATGAGTTGGTGGATGTGTGGAGGGATGGAGGGATAGATGGGTGGATGGATGAGTGGGCGGATGCATGGAGAGATGGAAGGATGGATGGATGAGTGGGTGGATGCATGGAGGGATGGAGGGATGGATGAGTGGGTGGATGCGTGGAGGTTTGGAGGGATGGATGGATGAGTGGAAAGATAGAAGATTAGAAAGATGGTTGGATGAGTTGGTGGATGTGTGGAGGGATAGAGGGATAGATGGAGGGATGGATGGATGAGTGGGTGGATGCGTGGGGGGATGGAGGGATGGATAAATGGATGGATGAGTGGGTGGATGCGTGGAGGGTTGGAGGGATGGATGGATGAGTGGAAAGGTAGAAGATTAGAAAGATGGATGGATGAGTGGGTGGAGGGATGCAGGGATGGATGGATGGATGAGTGGGTGGATGCGTGGAGGGTTGGAGGGATGGATGGATGGATGGATGAGTGGGTGGATGCTTGGAGGGATGAAGGGATGGATGGATTGATGGATGGATAAGTGGGTGGATGCATGGAGGGATGGAGGGATGGATGGATGGATGAGTGGGTGGATGTGTGCAGGGATGGAAGGATGGATGGATGGATGAGCGAGTGGATGGATGGAGGGATGGAGGGATGGATGAATGGATAGATGAGTGGGTGGATGCATGGAGGGATGGAGGGATGGATGGATGGATGGATGAGCGTGTGGATGGATGGAGGGATGGAGGGATGGATGAATGGATAGATGAGTGGTTGGATGCATGGAGGGATGGAGGGATGGATGGATGGATGGATAAGTGGGTGGATGCATGGAGGGATGGATGGATGGATGAGTGGGTGGATGCGTACAGGGATGGAGGGATGGATGGATGGGTGGGTGGATGGATGGAGGGTTGGAGGGATGGATGAATGGATAGATGAGTGGGTGGATGCGTGGAGGGATGGATGGATGAGTGGGTGGATGTGTGGAGGGATGGAGGGGTGGGTGGATGAGTGGAAAGGTAGAAGATTAGAAAGATGGATGGATGAGTGGGTGGATGTATGGGGGATGGAGGGATAGATAGATGTATGATGAATGAGTGGGTGGATGCGTGGAGGGATGGAGGGGTAGATGGATGGATGAGTGGGTGGATGCATGCAGGAATGGAGGGATGGATGGATGAGTGGGTGAATGCATGGAGGGATGGAGGGATAGATGGATGCATGAATGAGTGGGTGGATGCATGGAGGGTTGGAGGGATGGATGGATGGATGGATGGATGGATGGATGGGTGGTTGGATGCATGGAGTGATAGAGGGATGGATGGATGAGTGGGTGGATGCATGGAGGGATGGATGGATGGATGGATGAGTGGGTGGGTGCATGGAGGGATGGATGGATGGATGGATGAGTGGGTGGATGCATGGAGTGTTGGAGGGATGGATGGATGGATGGATGAGCAGGTGGATGCATGGAGGGATGGAGGGATAGATAGATGGTTGAGTGGGTGTATGCATAGAGGGATGGATGGATGGATGGATGGATCGATGAGTGGGTGGATGCATGGAGGGATGGATGGATGGATGGATGAGTGGGTGAGTGCATGGAGGGATGGATGGATGGATGGATGAGTGGGTGGATGCATGGAGGGATGGATGGATGGATGGATGGATGGATGAGTGGGTCGATGCATGGAGGGATGGAGGGATAGATGGATGGATGGATGAGTGGGTGGATGCATGGAGGGAGGGATGGATGGATGGATGGATGGATGGATGAGTGGTTGGATGTGTGGAGGGATAGAGGGATGGATGAGTGGGTGGATGTGTGGAGGGATGGAGGGATGGATGGATGAGTGGGTGGATGCGTGGAGGGATGGAAGGATGGGTGGATGAGTGGGTGGACACATGGAGGGATGGAGGGGTGGATGGATTAGTGGGTGGATGCGTGGAGGTATGAAGGAATGGATGGATGAGTGGGTGGATGCGTGGAGCGATGGAGGGATGGGTGGATGGATGAGTGGGTGGATGCGTGGAGGGATGCAGGGATGGATGGATGGATGAGTGGGTGGATGCATGGAGGGATGGAGGGATGGATGAGTGGGTGGATGCGTGGAGGGATGGAGGGATGGATGGATGAGTGGAAAGATAGAAGATTAGAAAGACAGATGAATGGGTGGGTGGAAAGGTAGATGGATGGGTATGTGAGTGAAGGATGGATAGATGGATGGGTAGAAAGGTGGAAGGATAGGAAGAAAGATGGATGGGAGAATGAATGGAAGGATGAGTGGACCAAGGATGATTGAGTGGGTGGAAAGATAGAAGGATGAATGTATGGACGGATGTTTTGATGGATTGACTGTAAGATCATGCTGTGATCTTTCTGTGGGAAATGCTGATTGTTTATTTGCTTGCCAGACTGGCCAGGGACTGAGAAGACTCCATTTTTCTGGTTTCTTAAGCTGGAGCTGCTTCCCTGTGCTGTGCCTCTCTCCCTCATTAGAAACTGCTTTGTTTACAGGTTGTGCCTGTAAGCAGTGCAGTGAGGGGAGGACATATTCCAGTGCAGTCATTTCACCGAACCTGGAAACCACCAGAATCATGCGGTTGTCTCATACCTCCCCTGTGGTAGACTGCACGGCTGCGTGCTGTGACCTGCCCAGCTGTGACCTGGCCTGGTGGTTGGAGGGCCGCTGCTACCTGGTGAGCTGCCCCCACAAAGAGAACTGTGAGCCCAAGAAGATGGGTCCGATCAGGTCTTACCTCACGTTTGTGCTCAGGCCGGTTCAGAGGCCTGCACAGCTGCTGGACTATAGGGACATGATGCTGAACAGGGGCTCTCCCTCGGGGACCTGGGGGGACTCACCGGAGGATATCAGAAAGGACTTGCCCTTTCTAGGCAAAGATCGGGGCCCAGAGGAGATGTCTGAGTACTCAGCTGACTATCGCGAGCTGGACAAGGACCTCTTGCAACCCAGTGGCAAGCAGGAGCCCAGAGGGGGTGCCGAGTACCCGGACTGGGGCCTGCTGCCGGGCAGTGAGGGGGGCTTCAACTCCTCTGCTGGAGATGGCCCCGCGGTACCAGCGGAGAAACAGCAGGACTCTGAGCTCCATCACCTGAATGAGCCTGCTTCAACCCATGCCCCAAAACTCCCTGAGAGAAGTGTGTTGCTTCCCTCGGCAACCACTCCATCTTCAGGAGACGTGCTGGAGAAAGAAAAGGCTTCTCAGCTCCAGGGACAATCCAGCAGCAGCTCTGGAAAAGAGGTGGGTGTGTTCAGGATGTGGTTGCGGGTGGGACGGGCTGGCAGACCGCAGGAGGGGCTGGGTTTCAGGAGCCGGGCACTGTTTCAGGCTGTATAGCATAAGGAGCTTCCTCCTAACTGCACCTGTCTCAGGTGTGGCAAGCAAGATGACTGTCTCTCAGAGATTTCTAGGAAGCAGAACATCTTGTTCCTTTGCTGTGCCTCCATGACCAGGCTGTTAAAAAGAACAAAGTTCTGCCTTCAGGAGTCAGCCTGCTCGTAATGACTGAGCACTTCTCCCTAGAGATGCCTCTATGAATATTTAAGGGAGATGGTATCTCCGTCCCTGGGGCCAGCACACACACCCACCCAGGGGCCTTGAAAATCATGCTAGTAGGTTTCTTCCAGACCGACCAGGTGCTCTGGCTGCTGCAAACACAAGGCATCATGAACAGTTGGATAGGACGAGAGATACGAAGGAGAGAACTTAAGCGCCATAAAAAGTTCCATGAAAAAGCTCAGGTTAAAAAAGAATGAGAGTCACTGGAGTGGAACGATTTCAAAAGCAGGTGGAAAGCCCAAGTGTTAAGGGCAGGAGGCCAGGGAGGCGGGGAAGGAGACGTGTGTGGCAAGCAGAGGGCAGCCGGAGAGCTCAGAGGCTGTTTGTTTGGACCCTGGTCAGGACTTGAGAATGTGGTCGGCATGTTGATCAGAGAAAGCTGAGGCCTATGTGGAAATGAAGTCAAAAGGGAACCTGGGAATCCTTTAAGAATTTTTTAAAGGAAAAGTTTTCCTTTTTAAAATTCCAGTGCTTATGTTAGAGTAAGTGAGGAATGCTGGATTGAATTGACATCACAATCTCAACCGTGAAAAATCACTAAAAAGTGTCTAGAAGTCATTTTTACATGTGAGTTTTCTTTTCTTTTCTTTTCTTTTTTGAGACATTCTTGCTCTGTCGCCCACGCCGGAGTGCGGTGGCACTATCTTGACTCACTGCCACCTCTGCCTCCCTGGTTCAACCTATTCTTCTGCATCAGCCTTCCAAGTAGCTGTGACTATAGGCGTGCACCACCGTGCCCGGCTAAGTTTTGTATTTTTTAGTAGAGACAGGATGTTGCCATGTTGGCCAGTCTGGCCTGGAACTGCTGACCTTAAGTGAGCCACCCGCCTCAGCCTCCTCTAGTGCTAGGATTACAGGCATGAGCCACAGCACCCAGCCAAGATTTAATCAGAAGATTTTTTTCCGCTTATATTTTTTTGAACTCCGAAGTGTCTATATTTTTCTGTACTTATAACTAGATTAAAATGAAAAAACTTTCCATTAGAAATAATCTGATAGTATTAAAGATTAACCATATTTACTCATCTCAGTAAATATTAGTATCAATTACCCTCTTTAATGCTGCCAAGTCATTTACTTCCTGGTTTATATAGATGGAACTCTCTAAAATCAAGCTCTACGAAAAATCCTTTGTTTGGCTCATTAGTTCTTTGAGGTTGGTTTTGTTAAAAGATAATTATCTAAATAGGTGAAATTGTGAATTGTTTAGATATAAAATGAACACGTTAGAGATTTGATTCTACTCGTTAATCACTGAGGGAACTAGGAGATTATAATTATCCTACCAGAAAACCTGAAGAACAGACACGTTCATAGATTTAAAAATATATTGAAATGAATGTGCAAATAGAGGCAAAACTGGGTTTCCGGTGAGGAAAGGAGGGAGCTCAGTTGAACCGCTAGCAGGCAGGGGAGAATTTATATGTCTATAGACAATAAGGATATTACATTGTTATCAGTGACCTGCAACTTACAGAGTTGTAAAAATAGCTCAAATACAAGAACAAGTCAGACATCCTGGAGGGGTATCCAATAGATAATATGTTTTTTATTTATTTTATTTTATTTTAATCTTTTGAGACAGGGTCTCATTTTGTTACCCAGGCTGGAGTGCAGCGGCGCAATCTCAGCTCACTGCAGCCTCGACCTCCTGGGCTTAAGCAATCCTCCCACCTCAGCCCCACCAAGGTAGCTGGGACTACAGGCACGTACCACCATACCCGGCTGATATATATATATATATTTTTTTGATTTTTTTTTTTTTGAGGCGGAGTTTCGCTCTTATTACCCAGGCTGGAGTGCAATGGCGCAATCTCGGCTCACCGCAACCTCCGCCTCCTGGGTTCAGGCAATTCTCCTGCCTCAGCCTCCTGAGTATCTGGGATTACAGGCACGCGCCACCATGCCCAGCTAATTTTTTGTATTTTTTTTTTTTTAGTAGAGACGGGGTTTCACCATGTTGACCAGGATGGTCTCGATCTCTTGACCTCGTGATCCACCCGCCTTGGCCTCCCAGAGTGCTGGGATTACAGGCTTGAGCCACCGCGCCCGGCCTCCGGCTGATATTTATATTTTTGTTAGAGACGGGATTTCGCCATGTTGCCCAGGTTGGTCTCAAACTCCTGAGCTCAAGTGATCTGCCTGCCTTGGCCTCCCAGAGTGGTAGGATTACATATGTGAGCCAACTCACCCTGCTGATAACACGCTGTCTTCCACTGAAATACAGATTTTCTTCTGAAGTACAAGAGATGTGTAGGCAATCTCCGAATAAGTGTTCATAAAAATTAGATGCATAGCGTAATAAGAAACCAGATATTCAAGCCCAATACACTGATGTACACCTGTAATCCCAAGTACTTGGGAGGCAGAGGTAGAATTGCTTGGGCCTAAGAGTTAGAGAGCAGCCTGGGCAAGATGGTGAGACCCCCTCTCTTAAAACAGAAAGAAACAAAAGAAACATTATTTCATTGTGACACAGTGCCAAGTTTGGAATTCATGACAGAAACTAAGATCTCTTCTCTCACCCAAAAAAAAAAAAAAAAGTAAAATAGTTCCATTGGTAAAGGTACCTAGAAAATTTAATGGGGAAAGAATAGTCTTTTCAACAAATGGTGTTAGGACAGCTGGATACTTACATGCAAAAGAATAAATTTAGACCCCTACTTCTTACCTTATTTTTAAAAAATTAACTCAAAATGGACCAATCATTTCAATATAAGTTAAAACTATAAAATACATGGAAGAAAACTCAGCATAAATCTTTGTAAACTTGGGCTAGGCAGTTATTTCTTAGTACATCAAAAGCATAGGATTAAAATAGAAAAATGGTAAATTTGAATTAATCAAAAGTAAAAGCTTTTGTATTTCAGATGACAACATCAAGAAAGGGAAACTTTCTTGATGGGATAAATATACCACAAAATGGGATAAATATACCATAAATATTGTATATGCTGAATATATAAATAACTCCTACAACTTAATAATAAAAAGACAAATAGCCTAATTCAAACATGGGCAAAGGATCTGAATGGAATTTCTCCAAAGATCATAGAAGAATGGCCAACAAGCACATGAAAAGCTGCTGTGCACCACTAATCTTTAGAGAAATGCAAATCAAAACCACAATGAGATGCTTCACATCGACTGGATAGCTAGAGAAAAACTAAAAACAGATCGTAAGTGTTAATCAGGATGTAGAGAAACGGGAACTCTCATACATTGCTGGTGGGAATGTGAGATGTTACAGCCACTTTGTTTTTGTTTTTTGAGAGATAGGCTCTTGTTCTGCACCCAGCTTGAAATGCTGAGGTGCCACATGGCTTACTGCAGCCTTAAACCCCTGGGCTCAAGTGATTCTCTTGCCGCCGTAGCTGGGACTATGTCGTGTGCACCACAAAGCCTAACTAATTTTTTATTTTTATTTTTGTAGAGATAGAGCCTCACTCTGTTGCCCAGCCTGGTCGCAAACTCATGGGCTTAAACAGTCCTCCCGCCTTGGCCTCCTAAAATGCTGAGATTATAGGTTTGAGCCACTATGCCTGGCCCTAGTGTAGCTGCTGTGGAAGACAGCCTTGCATTTTTTCAAAACCTTAAATGCAGTTATCATGACTCAGCAGTTTCACTTCTGGGTATTTACACAAGAGAAACAAAACATGTCTATATAGAAACTTGTACATGAATATTCATAACAGCACTATGCATGAAATAGTGCCATTGAATAGGACGTCTATGAAAAATAAATCAAGATCAAACTTGTAGAGGATACAGGACATTTTTTCTAACTGTGTTTTCCAGTGGACAAGACTAGAGAAATCACCTAAAACAAGCTGTTTTAAAGTAAATGAGTATAGAACATAGAAACAAGAGCCATTTGGGACTTTTACTGAGGAGGCCCAGCTGAACTTGAAGGCTGAAGTGGGCGATACTGGTGCTCAGTGGCTTCCATGGAGGATCCGTTTTCCTTTGGAGGGGTGTGTCAGGGAGGACCTTGTCCTGATGACTCAGTGAGGAGCTCTGTGGTGGAGGTTGTGGGCGGATTATTGAATAGTGAAGGGAAGAACTGGCATCTGATTCCAGCCTGGAGATGCAGCATGGTAGAAAAGTGAATGTTGTAGAGAAAAGCAGGACAAGGGTTTTCTTCCCCCTCAGCCATTTCTGGCTTAGTGACCCCAACCCAAGGTACCTTAATTTCTCTGACCACCGCCTACCTTCATTCTTTATTTCAGCTTGGCAATAATTTTTCAGGACTTCATAAAACTAAAAACAAAAAAATCCCCCAATTTATCCCATGGGATTTGCAGAGCCCCCAGTATAAAATGCTGTGCACACATATTCTACAGCCCTGGTTTGTAGTAATTCTAAATTTCATACTGTTCTTAGAGAGTCACAGCTTAATCCATAGCACTCACTTCACAATCCCAGATGCCTGAAAATTCAATTAAATCAAACATCTGAAAATTATATAGTAGACCCACTACCTGATTTTTAAAATGTAGGTCGATTGGTTTCTCTTAGTTTGATCATACAGCGTAATTTCATTATTTTTTTTGTTTGTTTGTTTGTTTTTTTTTTTGCTTTGGTTCTGGAAATGTAGTTGCAGAAGGTTTCACAAGTTGCCCGGTAAATATCTGGAACCCAGTGGGAGCTCAATTGCTGTTAGTGGTGATACCAGTGATCACACCTCCAAGCACAAAATTTATGCTGTATCCTTACTCACTTTTCTCAATTGTAGAAAAGAGTAGTTATCTTTTCAGTTAGCACCGATGCCCCCCTCTCTGATTTACATTTGAATTACAGCTTTTCTTTCTGTGGGTTTCTCACTGTACATGGCCTCTGTGGGTCTTCTGTATTCTAAGAACTTTACTTACCTGGCTCCACACAGTTACTGACTTTGAGTCTCAGAGGATATTTTATTATCATATTATGAGAATTTTCCCTCTGGCATACACTATTTAATTAAAAAACTTTAACTTGACTAACTGTAACTTTATCGGTCATACATAATGGATAAATGAATAAATATGATTTACTCTAGAAGCCTGTTGACTACTGAATTATTCGATTGTGTTCAGTTGTTGCTTTAGTGATTGTCTCAGCTTGTTTTGCTGCAACAAAATACCATTGTATTAATCCATTCTCACACTGCTATAAAGACATACCCAAGACTGGGTAACTTATAAAGGAAAGAGGTTTAATTGACGCACAGCTCTGGATGGCTTGGGAGGACTCAGGGAACTTGCAGTCATGGCAGGTGAGAGAGAGCAAGCGGGGGAAATGGTAGATGCTTATAAAACCACCAGATCTCGTGAGAACTCACTATGGCAAGAACAGCATGGAGGAAACCATCTCCATGATCCCGTTTCCTCCATCTGATCTCTTCCTTGACACATGGGGAGTATAATTCAAGATGAGATTTGGGTGGGGACACAAAGCCTAGCCATATCAACCGTGATCTGGGTGGTGTAACCTTGTATAACTCACAGTTCTAAAGTTCGGAGGTCTGAGATCAGGATGCCAGCAGGGTTGGGTTCTTGTGAGGGTTTCTTGGAGGTAGTCATCTTTTTGCTGTGTCCTGACATGGAGGAAAGACAACTAGCTAGCTGTCTCTCCTCTTCTTATAAAAGCACTAATCCCATTTATGAAGGCTTTATCCTCATAATCTCATTAATTCCCAAAGGCTCTACCTCCAAATACTACCACATTGAGGGTTAAGATTTCACCAAATGAATCTGTGGGGTGTCGGGGGAGGTGTGGGGCAGAAGCATTCAGTCCAGTGAACTGATTAGTTTAGGGGCTACTGTAATTACTTTCTCGTTCTTTATTTTGAGTGTTTGTGTGTTCACCTGTACTAATCGTCCAACCCACAGTTGCCTTATATTTCTAATAGATGGCAAAGAGTGTACTTGAGAGTTTTGGAATATTGTTCATGGCATTTCAAACATTACTGAAGCTAGTTTATGAAAAAGGTAACACTGAGTTGCTGGGAGAATTGAACTTTTTTTTTTTTTGTAACTATTTGTCCTTGTAATTGATCTCTTAGGTTCTAATGCCTTCCCATAGTCCTCCTCCAGCAAGCCTGGAACTCAGCCCAGCCGCCATGGAGAAAAGCCCAGTGCTCACAGTCACCGCGGGGAGTACAGAGCACAGCTTTCCAACACCTCCCACTAGCACAGCCCTCTCTGGGTCCACCCCACCTGAACGACCCATATCTCCTACCACTGCTCCCGGGACAGGTAACTTTGAAAAAATATAATTGGAAGAGACGTACTGAAGAAAGGCTGTAGAATGTGGTAGTCACGGCTTTCAAAGTTGACTCATTCCCTCCAAGCACATTTTGAGCATCTAGTCAGAAACGGTGCTGCATACTGGGAACAAAAAGAAGAATAAGACAGTGTCTTTTAGGCTAGGCGGGGTGGCTCACGCCTGTAATCTCAGCACTTTGGGAGGCCGAGGCAGGTGGATCATGAGGTTAAGAGATTGAGACCATCCTGGTCAACATGGTGAAACCCCATCTCTACTAAAAATACAAAAAATTAGCTGGGCATGGTGGTGCGTGCCTGTAATCCCAGCTACTCAGGAGGCTGAGGTTGCGGTGAGCCAAGATCGCACCATTGCACTCCAGCCTGGGTAACAAGAGTGAAACTCCGTCTCAAAAAAAAAAAAAAAAGACAGTGTCTTTTCCCTCAGGGACTCCATAGTCCAGGAGAAGAGACTGACAGGTAAAGAGGTGGTTCTGATACAATGTGGTGAGTGCTGTAAGAGGCTGCTGTTGGGGCAGAGGGGCACCTTGACCCACTAGGAGGGCCCCGGGATGCCTTTCCAGAGGAGATGCTAGGGTAGAGTGAGCCGGCAAAAATGGCATTGATCTGTTGTTCAGGTTGAGGGAGCAACATGTTTAATGACAATAGTCATCATTGTATTTATTGAGCACCTATAGAGTGCCAGGCAGTATGTTCAGTGTTTCATCCATCATCTCATTCATCACCTATGCAAAAAAAACAGAAGTTCAAGAACTCCTGGGACATTCTGGAAGAAGTGTAAGGGGTTCAGTGTGGCTGGAACTGGAGTGGCAAGCAGGGCAAGAACTGGAAAGATCATGTATTTTATGCTAAAGATTCTGCACTTTACTGGATGGGTTTGGAGAATCCCTGAATGCTTTTAAGCAGGAAAGCAAAATGATCAGATTTGTATTAAGAAAATAGTGTTGGCCAGGCGTGGTGGCTCACGCCTGTAATCCCAGCCTTTTGGGAGGCCCAGGCGGGTGGATCATGAGGTCAGGAGTTCGAGACCAGCCTGGCCAACATGGTGAAACCCCATCTCTACAAAAAAAATAAATAAATAAATGAAAAGGACTGGGCATAGTGGTGCACGCCTGTAATCCCACCTACTTGGGAAGTTGGGGCAGGAGAATTGCTTGAACTTGGAGGCAGTGGTTACAATGAGCCGAGACAGTGCCACTGTACTCCAGCCTGGGTGACAGAGAAAGACTCTGTCTCAAAAAAAGTAAAAAATGAAAACAAAAGAAAAAGAAAATTGTGTGGAGTTGACTAAGTTGACCAGAGGCAACAAGATCCATGGAAAGGCTATGGTGAGCAGCTGCAGGAATGGAGGGAAGAAACTCGATTCAGGAGGTAGCAAGGGAGCAGAATCATAATGATTAGATGAGTGACTGAATGAAGGTAAGGATGAAGGAAGAGGATGCTAAGATATATGAAAATACAGAACTGAAATTAGATGAGCAGTTGGGCTGAAGATAAAGGATTACGAGTCATCAGTGTGGAGGTGACAGTTGAAGGCACAGGGGACATAGAAGATCATCTGGGGAGACAGTGGGAGTGAGCTAAGGAGAGGCCTGAGTATGGGACTTGAGGGACATCATTATATAAGGAGCTGACAGTGCAGAATGAGCCTGTAAATCTGATTGGGTAGTTGTGCCAGAGAGGTGGGAGGTAAAGAGGAAAGCTAGAATCTGGGAAGAAAGGAAGGGGAGAGTTCTACAGAGGAGGATAAAACCATTTTCCATTTAACCTTCTAAGGTTCAGACTAGTGCCCCTTTAACAAAAGATAGATGAACAAGAGAAAAAAACAAGTTTATAACATGTACATCTTACCTATACATGAGAGATACCCAGGGAAATGAGGAAATCTCAAAGAGGTAGCCTGGAACTCTGGCTTATATAGCATCTTGAACTAAAGAAAAGAAGGTTGTGGGGAAGCCAAGTGGCCAGAGGTGCCCAGAACAGCAAAGTAAGCAAGAGTGGGGCTTATGCAGATTTGTCAGGACCTTCTCCACTGATGGGGATCCCTTGGGATTTAGTCACCCTTCTCTTCCTGGTATAGAAAGGGACATTGTTACAAATGGGGATTTCTGGCCTGGCGCAGTGGCTCACGCCTGTAATCCTAGCACTTTGGGAGGCTGAGGTGGGCAGATCATGAGGTCAAGAGATTGAGACCATCGTGGCCAACATGGTGAAGCCCCATCTCTACGAAAAATACAAAAATTAGTGGTGTGTGGTGGTGCGCACCTGTAGTCCCTGCTACTCGGGAGGCTGAGGCAGGACAATTGCTTGAACCTGGGAGGTGGAGGTTACAATGAGCCAAGATTGTGCCACTGTGCTCCAGCCTGGGTGACAGGGAGACTTCATCTCAAAAAAAAAAAAAAAAATTAGCCAGGCATGGTGGCATACACCTGTAATCCCAGCTACTTGGGAGGCTGAGGCAGGAGAATTGCTTGAACCCAGGAGGTGAAGGTTGCAGTAAGCTGAGATCACACCACTGCACTCCAGCCTGGGCAACAGAGCGAGACTCTGTCTCAAAACAAAACTAATGGGGATTTCCTTTGTGGATACCAGTTCCCCTTACAAAGGAGTAACTTCTGTTTTCAGAGCTCCTCTTTGCTGTTTCTCAAAAAAAAAAAAAAAAAAAAATCAGCTCAAAATAATCCATGTATCAAAGAGTTATAGTTTCAGTAGCATAGTCTAGTCTCCTACAGTCTGTGAACCAAAAGTAACCGAGACAGGTCTCATTAATTTAGAAAGTTTATTTTGGCAAGAATGTACCAGGGACACAGCCTCAGGAGGTCCTGATGCCGTGTACCCAAGGTGGTCAGGGTACAGCTTGTTTGTTTGTTTTGAGACAGAATCTTGCTCTGTCACCCAGGCTGGAGTGCAGCGGCGTGACCTCGGCTCACTGCAACCTCTGCCTCCGCAGTTCAAGCGATTATCTTGCCTCAGTTTCCTGAGTAGCTGAGATTACAGGCACCCACTACCATGCCTGGCTCATTTTTGTATTTTTAGTAGAGAAAGAGTTTCTCCGTGTTAGTCAGCCTGGTCTTGAACTTCTGCCCTCAGGTGATCTGCCTGCCTCAGTCTCCCAAAGTGCTAGGATTATAGGTGTGAGCCACTGTGCCTGACCACCTTGGTTTTATACATTTTAGGGAGACATAAGACATCAGTCAGTATGTGTGAGACACACATTGGTTCAGTCCAGAAAGGCAGGGCAACCGGAAGGGGGTGTTTTAGGTCATAGGTAGATAAGAGACAAAGGTTGCATTCTTTTGAATCTTTGATAAGCCTGTCACTGAACACACAATGTACTTGTGAGAGGGTGAAGAGGAATAGTCACTTACGCCTTGTCTGACTCAGTGAATCTGCGTTTTTATGTAAACAATAGGGCAGAGAAAGCAATTAGATATGCATTTGTCTCAGGTGAGCAGAGGGACGACAGAGCCCTGTCCCTTGTCCTGCACCCGTGAAGAGAAGCTATCGATTTACATGGCCAAGGTGAAATTCACCAAAACTGTTCTAGGGTAAAGATCTTGAGACCCACGAGGAATCTTCTCGTGGGCAAGTTGTAAGGGAGGAATGTAGCTTTTTTATGTTTGTAGTTATCTTATTTAGGAATAAAATGAGATGGAGGTTTGCCTGACACACCTCGCAGCTTGACTTTTCCCTTTGGCTTAGTGATTTGGGAGTCCCGAGGTTTCGTTTCTTTTCACAAGTCATATCTTGGCTTAGCATGTTCCAATCTCCTGTAGTTCCAAAAAGGAAGATGTGCCAAAACTCCAGGTATTGCAAAGGCCATGGTGAGGATTGCAGAGCTTCCATTAGATTGTCCAATAAAGAAGTTATTAGAATATGTAAGACCTAAGGGTCAGTTTCCTGAGCTTTTCTGTGGGCCATGTATTTCGGAGATTACTCTCTCTAACTTTTGTATTTACTTTGATTCTGAGCTTCAGTTGAGAGAAAGATAATAGTGGAAGAGAAGCTGTGTAGTCTACGGAAAAAGAAACTGGCCTGAGAGTTTGGCCCAGGATCTGTGGGTTTTAATAGAACCTACTGCACATAGTTGTAATGAGGATTAAATGAACTGATCATTTTAAAGCCCTTGGGACAATGCCTGGCACAGTTTAATCGGGTATATAAGTGTTTGTTGAAATAAATACCTTTAAATTAATTGATTATTGGTGGACCTATTGCTAATTATCCATAGCCTTGGACAACGTTGCCCTTCTAGGATTTAATCTCCCCATCTGTAACATGATAGGTTTGGGTCAACGTTCCTTCTAGGTCTATAGTTCCTGACTTTCAGGGCAAAGAGTTAGTGAAAGTGGCAAGAGAGGAGCCAGCAAAGCCACAGAGAGCCTCTGCAGCTGATCTAGGAGCATGTGAGGCATTGAGGCCTGAGGAGAGGAGGGGGTTAAAACAAGCAGCCTGCCCACTTCTCCTGGCAGGGTCCCTCTGCAGAGCACTCAGCTTTAAAAAAAAAAAAAAAAAAAAATCTTTGATTTTTCTCTATTTATTATCTGGACATACCACAATATATTTTATAAGTGAAACTAATGTCTAGTGGACGCGAACCGATAGAATGGATGAATATATCAATGTCATCCTGGTTATAGAGAAAGTAAACAAGTATTGTTCTGAATGCTCCCTTGGCGGATAAGCACTTTTCATAAGAGTTAATGTTCCCGCTGCTTAAGTTAAATTAGGCTTTTTATATTGAGGGTGACTGGATTTTGTTTTGGAAAGGTTCCAAGTACAAGGCCATTAGCAGTAATTCATGAGAACTGAGTGGAGTAGGACTAAGGAGACAGAAACACTTCGGATTACACTCAGTCTTTTTCTATCTAAAAATAGCTCACACCAGGGAGTCAAGAAAGGCTGGGAGCAAGGGAGAAAAGGGACCCAATCCACGATTGTGTGAGACCTGTTTCACGCAACTCGTCACCCAATCAATACATTGCTCAGTCAATTTGAATCATCATTTTTGTCACAGTGCCAACTCATGTATGCGGTTTAAAGCCCTGCACTATAATATGGGCACAGTTGAGTTTCTAGACAGAGGAAAAACGTGCCTTAGCTAAAATCGTGTGAAGAACTATTACAAAAGCATATGCTATTTTATGTTATGGATACTAAAAACAGATCTATTGTAGAACTGTAATGCAACATCATTGTATTATATAATTGCATGTATTATTTCTAATTAACTTTTAGTGAAAGAACTGATGGTATCGGCTGGAGATAACTTAGTAATAACTTTTCCCGACGACGAAGTTGAGCTGAAGGCCTTTGTTGTGCCAGCGCCACCTGCAGGTGAGAGTTTAACCTTCCTCCCTCCCCGCCAGGAAGTGGGTGTTCTCCCTCAGCAGGTCCTGACAGGCCGTTTACAACGCAGATTCTTTTTCACAACATCACACAACGTCACAAACCAAACTGGAAGACAAGGCTTTGATTATCCTAAGCATCAACATTTGTTGAAATAGTTTAAAATGGAGTAAGAGCAGCACTTTGGGAGGCCGAGGCGGGTGGATCGCGAGGTCAGGAGATCGAGACCATCCTGGTCAACATGGTGAAACCCCGTCTCTACTACAAATACAAAACATTAGCTGGGCATGGTGGCGCGTGCCTGTAATCCCAGCTACTCAGGAGGCTGAGGCAGGAGAATTGCCTGAACCCAGGAGGCGGAGGTTGCGGTGAGCCGAGATCGCGCCATTGCACTCCAGCCTGGGTAACAAGAGCGAAACTCCGTCTCAAAAAAAAAAAAAAAAAAAAAAAAAAAAAAAAAAAATGGAGTAAGAGTCTAGGACATTAAATACAGTAGATAGTGTTTAGTTGGTCAGGATGGAAAGTCATAACTTTCTGATGATGCAAAGCAGAGCAGGACAGGCTGCCACGCTGCAGCTGTTGACCTGGGATAACCTACAGAACCTGGGAGGACTCCCCTGGAACGAGAGGGAAGTGGTGCGCACCCCCAGGTTTGTTCGCAGATGCTGTGGTGTTGACAGTCACGGCTCTGAGCTTCTCAGGATACCTCACACTAGCTGCTCAAAAAAATTCAGTGAAAATGCTCTTCTGCTTGTCCAGCGCTCTGCCATTCAGTGAACATTTGACCTGGGACCTGTGGCCTGTCAGATGCATTTTTTTTTAACGTAGACTCATTCTTAAGATGTTTGACTATTTCTCATTGAGGTTAGTTCCTTAATTAATTTTTTTCTCCATCACATATGGGTCAAATTTTTATAACTAGAGATGATAATATTTGGCATTTGCATTTTAATCCTTTGAGATGAGGTACCTTATATTTTAACTACTAACATCTGAAGGTGGGAGACAGTTTCATCTTCACAGAGACATGTTTACATTCTGTTTTCACGTCCTTAAATAAACCCCTACAATAGATCAAATGAACTGAAATCTCCTTGCCTTTTGTTAAAAACAGAAAAGTACAGTGGATTATACTATGTTAAAACTGATACGGATCATCAGATGTAGCACCCTAGTAAAAAAAGTCATCAAATACTAATGGTTAAATTAGGGAGGGTTTTTTTTTTAACTTTATACATTTAAAAAAATTCTTGTAAGTTGTATGCTTTTATAACAAAAAAAGAAATTTTATATTAAGAAGATACATATTATTCTTTACTTGGCTGATAGTTGAAAATCAAGTTCATAAAATGATAGCAAAAGTGAGGGGATATAAACAAATAAATAAAAACTATATAAGTTAAAAAAAAAAAGAAAGCAGAGTTTAGTATATCTAAAGAAATCTATACTGGTAGTTTTAAGGCTATCATTGTCCCTCTGCCCAGGTTACCTAGTGACCTCTGAGAATTTATAACTACTCATATTTATTTTTTGCTCTCAGAAACAACCTACAACTATGAATGGAGTTTAATAAGCCAACCCATAGACTACCAAGGTGAAATACAACAAGGACACATGCAGACTCTCAACCTCTCTCAGGTAAGTAACTGGAGGCAGGTTGTGTTTGATAGCACAGCATAGTGGCACAGAGCTCAGCTCATACCTTCTTCGCTGTGGAACCCAAACATCTTTCTTTTTTTTTTTTTTTTTTTTTGGAAACAGCCTCACTCCGTTGCCCAGGCTGGAGTGCAGTAGTGCAGTCAAGCTTACGGCAACCTCCGCCTCCCGGGTTCAAGTGATTTTCCTGCTTCAGCCTCCTGAGTAGCTGAGATTACAGGCGCACACCACCACGCTGGCTAATTTTTTTGCATTTTTAGTAGAGATGGGATTTCACCGTGTTGGCCAGGCTGGTCTTGAATGCCTGACTTCAAGTGATCTACCCTCCTTGGCCTCCCAAAGTGTTGGAATTATAGGCATGAGCCATCACGGCTGGCCACAAGTGTCTTTCTTATGGTAAGACCACAAGAAGGATATGAATGAATAAAGTTTCAGCTATGCAAGAAACCAGGCAGGTGGTTAAGAGGCTTCAGATGGCTTTTCTTGATTTGAGTTACTTGGTGTGCCTCAGCTTGGGGAAAAGAGTCTGCGTGTCCCACAGGCACTTCAGTGAGGTTAAAACCTGTTCTAACACTCGCTCTCCTTGCAGTGTTAAGTACATTCGACTTATCTCTGGTTCTCAATCAGGCGCATCTCTAGAGTTGCCAATAATTCCATCCCGGGTCACAGATCGCCCTATGCCGTATTGCTGTATGATACAAGCATTCACAAAAAACACGCCGTCTTTCTGGCCTAGGAGGTTATGTAAACTGACTTTGCCGCTAGAGGTCTGGTTTCCTACCAGATGATTGACTTTGTCTCCTGGGACCACACAGCTCATGGTGCAGCGTGGACTTGCATCATTCCCATGTCACTGAGCTCTGGTTCTCAAAGTGTGGCGTCCAGCCACCTGCAGCCAGCCCACCAGAGCTAGGTGGTAAAAGTGCTTGGTTCATACACACACGGTTGAGGACTGCTGTCCTCTGCTGGTCCATCTCACTTAGGCCTCTATGAGGCCCTCTGTAGCGAAGCTAAAGGCCTGTCTAGGTGATCCTTAGTGTTCCGGAATTCAGGCTTCAAACGCGTGGCAGCCTCTAGACAGATCCAGATGAGACTCCCTGCTGAGCCGCTTCTCCATGCCGACTTTAGGAGCATGGCTTCTGGGATATTTTTTCTTTTACTAGGTAATGGACCCATCATAGCTTTTGCAAGTTGACTTGTGTAACTTTTCTTTATGTTACAGTTGTCCGTCGGACTTTATGTCTTCAAAGTCGCTGTTTCTAGTGAAAATGCCTTTGGAGAAGCATTTGTCAATGTCACTGTTAAGCCTGGTAAGCCTGTGTAAGAGAATGGCCTCCTGTTGTACACATTTATCTCAATGTTCGGTGCCTGGATGACTGTCTATCTATCTGTCTGTCTGTCTGTCTAGAGAGAGAGAGAGAGACAGAGAGAGAGAGAGACAGAGAGAAAATCTATTTTATATTAGACTCTATGGTAGAGAAAACATGCAAAGATTATGGTTTTGTTTTATTGTGTTGTGTTGTAATTTCTGTATAACAGGGCTTGCTTGACAAGGTTATTGCTGGCTGCTCTTGAATGGTGGCGAATCTTCCTTAGCCCTCTCTAGCTGGCAATTACTCCATCCACCCTAACTTCTACATACACTCTCCATGAGTCAGCTTCACCTTCGGAGCAGGGGCATGTTAAATACATTCAATGGAGCAACCAGGAGGTCAGGGGAAAATGTGTGCCCATCAGTCAGTGCATTCTTGTGAATTAGAAACTGGTAGTTCTTGAGCTGGGCGGTCACAGCCCTGGCTTGGTGAGTGGAACAGCTGGCTTTCAGCCTCCACCACCCCCTCACCTGTGCTGAGAGCACAACCTACACAGTTAAGGTAAACCTCCCCCGAACCAACTTCAGCCCAACCCTCGGACCTGACAGCTCTAAATTTTGCATACTCTGCCTGGTTATTTTTACAGCTGAAGCATGGTTGGGAGTGGTGGCTTGCCTTTAGTCAGATATTGAAGATCCAGTTAATCCCAGGAGCTGGAACTGTAACTCCTTGCTCCTGCTCTGGAATTACTGCTCATGTTCTGTGACCAGCCCCTTGGTTATTATTGCATGTCTTAACTGAGCCTGGGCTTACATTCAAAAGTGTAAATGTACAGACAAGCTCCTGAAATCCACAGAGACTCCAGACTTTAAAAAGTGCTCTCCACAGTTGAGGCCGGTAGGGTAAACACCTCCTTGACAGGACATTTATCATCAGTTTTTGAAAGCAGATAATTTTCTGTGGGTGAGGACATATGCATACACAACGTGGGCTCAGTCACTGCCCTTTTTTTCTGTTGCAGCCAGAAGAGTCAACTTGCCACCTGTAGCAGTTGTTTCTCCCCAAGTGCAGGAGCTCACTTTGCCTTTGACGTCAGCCCTCATTGATGGCAGCCGTGCGTATCCTGTGATAGTTCAGGGATTTTTTTTTTTTTCTCTGCATGCCAGGAAGTATAATGGGTGCTCTGCATCAAGGCTGGGAGGACTTAGGGGCTGTTACTCGGATAAACGATCACTTCCTTCCTCAGTTTTTTGTCTTTAGTTCCTTTAGCTTCTCCGCTCTGTGCTTATTTTCCCTTCAGCTTTTGTCTGTTCTATTAGAAAGTTCTTTAGGGCCTGGCCATTTAATTGGGAATTAGAGCAACCGTTGAAGAATCCTCTTCTGGTGTGGTATATATGATTAGTGGTTAGAAAATCACTGTATAGATACATCTTTATGTGTGTAAATTATTTTAGAAGATTACTTTAAAAGAATTAATTAGACACCAGGGAGGAGCTCCCATTAGATTATTTTAAAAGAATTAATTAGAAGCTAGAGAGGAGCTCCTGTGATCCTCAGGAGGGGAAGCACCCCCAACCAGATGGGAAAATCACTTTTTTTTTTTTTAATAGAGTTCGGCTCTGTCACCCAGGCTGGAGTGCAGTGGCGTGATCTCAGCTCACTGCAACCTCCACCTCACTGCAACCTCCACCTCGTAGGTTCAAGCACTTCTCCTGTCCTAACCTCCTGAGTAGCTAGGATTATAGGAGCACGCCACCACACCTGGCTAATTTTTTATTTTTAGTAGAGACAGGGTTTCACCATGTTGGTCAGGCTGGTCTTGAACTCCCAATCTTGTGATCTGCCCACCTCAATCTCCCAAAGTGCTGGAATTACAGGCGTGAGCCACCATGCCTGGCCTGGTAAAATCACTTTTAACAATTCTTAGAAAGGGTGTCTTCAGTGAGGGGGTGTGGTATTTTAAATGGTTAGTTCAGAGTCCATTCTTCTATTGGAGTATATGTGGAAGGGGCCCCTGAGTGACTAGAGGTGTTTGTGTAAATATATTTTGAAAACATCCTGTGATTGACTAGGTTCATCCTTATCAGTGTACCAGGTAACTGCGTTTTATGTACATTTACTCACAAAGCTGATACCAAATCCTGTAAAGAGGGAAGAATGGTCGCCTTGGTGGTCGGGAGAATGCTTGTTAGCCGCTGAAGCTGCTCTATTTTGCAAGCCTGAAGATGTACAGAGAGCACCTTGACATGAGGATTTGCCTCTATTCAAATATAGCCCATATTTCACAGCGATTGCCAATCAAATGGCCAGGCCCTAAAGAACTTTCTTAGCCATGTGAAACTACAGCATGTTTTAAATGGAAATATATCGCATTTTGATTCCTCTAATTCAGTATGGCTTATTTCCAGGACACTGTTCAGGATTATTTATCTGTCACACAAACTTCCTCTTTCCTTAAATGAATTAGATGAAACCCACCCCCTTCCAGGATTAAGTTTCTACGAATCCGCACGGCACATTTTGTTTGTTCACTTTTACAGTAGAAATAGAAAATGTTCATGTAGGGATATGACCCTTTCTCTGGATTTACCCCTTAATAATTAAAGCAGTAAAAGATGTTTTGTAAGTTCTAGAAAAGCATCTCAAGTCTGAGCCTGTCAGTTCAGATGCCTATTTACAGTGTTGAGTAGGAGCTCACATGCTGTAGTTGAGGTGAGCGGAAGTAGCGTTTCCATGTGCTGCATTTTGTTGGCCCCTGTTTTTTAAAAGCAAAAGCATCTGTCATTGTGCTTCTTAAATATTCAACTGAGTGGGAACAGCCTCACTCAAATCAGGTGGAAATCTAGGAGAAAAATAGCAATGATAATTTCAGCAGCAGGAAAGAACCTCCTTCTAATATACAGTACATAGCAGTTGAGCTCTAGGCAAGTATATAATTTCCTGTAAAAATGAATTTAAACATGCAGTAATTAAATTACAAAACTTGTTTTCCTCTTCTTATATTTCATTCTTGTCTTTATTTCTCAATCTTTTAGAAAGTACAGATGATACTGAAATAGTGAGTTACCACTGGGAAGAAATTAGCGGGCCCCTTGTGGAAGAGAAGACTTCCGTTGACTCCCCCATCTTACGCCTGTCTCACCTTGATCCTGGTAACTACAGTTTCAGGCAAGTGGGTCCCTGCCTTTACTGTGCTTCCTGCTACTTAAATGTTGACTGTTTCTTTAAACTAATGCATATAAAACACTGCACTTCTTATTTTGATCAAGAGAGGAGATTTGGCTTTCGTGGGGGTTTTGGTTGGATGCCACTGGAAACACTGATATCCTCATCAATTAATATGAACTTTATTTATGTATTGGGGTAAAATTTGTATATAGTGAAATACACTTTATAAGATTCATTTGATTTATTTCTATTTAATTCTTCTTCACCATCTGATTGAGGAGGTTACTGCTGCTAACCCAGGAAGAAATTTTCTAAAGGGCCCAGAAGGTGTCCCGACTCAGCCTGGTTGAGAAGGAAGGACTTTTAGGTGTTTGGTTTGCTGTCAGAGCCAGGGTGGAAGCTGGATCTTGGTTGTGTGGAGTGTGGGGCATAGTGTGGAAGGAAGCCCAGGATGCACAGGTGCCCCCTACATGTACTCAGCCTGTGAGGAAGGCCCCGCGTGTACCCGCCCTGCCAGGAAGGCCCCGCGTGTACTCACCCTGCCAGGAAGGCCCTGCGTGTACCCGCCCCGTGAGGAAGGCCTTGCATGTACCTGCCCCGTGAGGAAGGCCCCGCGTGTACCCGCCCCGTGAGGAAGGCCCTGCGTGTACCCGCCCCGTGAGGAAGGCCGCGTGTGTACCTGCCCCGTGAGGAAGGCCACGCGTGTACCCGCCCCATGAGGAAGGCCACGCGTGTACCCGCCCTGTGAGGAAGGCCTGCGTTCCGCCACAGCTTTGCTCTCATATGCCTACTGATACTTATTTAGCATCATCACTAGTCCCTATCACCACCTTTGATGTAGAAGGATGAAGTGACCTATTTGTGAATTCACTGTTCTCAGGACCACATTAGGAATCAGTTTAGTGGGGCCGGGTGCAGTCTCTGACTCCTGTAATCCCAGCACTTTGGCGGGGGCCAAGGCGGGTAGATCATGAGGTCAGGATTTTGAGACCAGGCTGGCCAAGATGGTGAAACCTTGTCTCTACCAAAGATACAAAAATTAGCCGGGTGTGGTGGTGGGTGCCTGTAATCCCAGCTACTCAGGAGGCTGAGGCAGGAAAATCGCTTGAACCAGGGAAGCAGAAGTTGCAGTGAGCCGAGATCATGCCACTGCACTCTAGTTTGGGCGACAGAGCGAGACTCTGTCTCACACACACACACACACACACACACACACACACAAACACACAGAGGCATCAGTTTAGCGCAGGGAGGTTAATGCATTTCTCTTTGTGTTTGCAGAGGGTGAGCATTGGTTCACATGTGAAAGTGCTTAATTCTAACACTGCTCTGCAAGGCGTATCCTGAAAATGTAATATCAAGTCTTCTAGAAAAGGATTAAAAATTAAAAAGCTTTGTAGCTGAAAATTAGGAGTGATTTTCTGTCTCTGTATGCTCAACCTAAAGGCAGAACTTAAACCTGACCCATTTTTAGTCTCTGTTACTGGAGAGTGGTATCTATGTTGGCTGAGGATGGTTTTTCTTACCCAGCATCTCAGACTAGTCAGAAATCCATAAAGGTTAAACTCTAACATCAATATGTTATGAACTAAAAATAAAATAGTCAACAGCAACAAAATCAAACAGAAATGTCAAGTCTTTGTGTTTATCTTTGCTTCCTCCTTAAATTTCTATCTGTACCTGTTCTAAGTTGGTCTGAGGACTGTTCCATGAACCGACTAACTTGACCTAAGTGTACCTTGAGATTTGGCAGTTATTTTTTTGGTCTGCCCTTTTTTTTTTTTTTTGGTGGTTGTTTTTTGGGACAGTCTCTTGCTGTGCTGCCTGAGGTGGAGTGCAGTGGAGCAATATCGGCTTACTGCAGCCTTGACCTCCCAGGCTCAAACGATTCTCCCACCTCAGCCTCCCAAGTACCTAGAACTATGGGTATGCACGACAACCCCCAGCTAATTTTTTTTTTATTTTTTAAATACAGATAGGGTCTCACTCTGTGGCCCAGCTGGTCTCAGAACTCCTGGGCTCAAGCAGTCCTCCTACCCCAGCTTCCCAAAGTGCTGGGATTACAGACACGAGCCACTGTGCCCAGCCTGGCATATTCTTGCAACTATGGATTCTTCTCCTTTCTGTAGGTTGACAGTTACAGACTCGGATGGAGCCACTAACGCCACAACCGCAGCCCTAATTGTCAACAATGCTGTGGACTTCCCACCAGTTGCTAATGCAGGACCAAATCATACCATCACTTTGCCCCAAAACTCCATCACTTTGAATGGAAATCAGAGCAGTGACGACCACGAGATTGTTTTCTATGAGTGGTCGCTGGGTCCTGAGAGTGAGGGCAAGCATGTGGCCATGCAGGCAAGTTCTCCATGCTGCCTTCAGACTCTTGTCTGTCTCTATGCCATCTGTCTGTCTGTCTGTCTGTCTATTGTCTATCATCTATCTATCTATCGTCTATCTTTCTATCTATCTATCTATCTGCTATTGGTTGGGGTAGGCCGTTAAATTTAGATAATTTGTTTTGTGAAATTATCTGATATATTACAACTATTAGAAAAGGGCCTAAGCTCACAGATCTTCCAAGGTGACATCCTCTCCCCTCATCCACTTAGATAAGCACAGGACAGCAACCAGTTGGTTCTGTGTTTACAATTAGATCTTGAGATCAGTTTGAGAAAAGTCTCACATCTGTTAGAGAAATATTTTCATATTGGGAGCAACCTTAGAAATAATTGAATCTAAACCTCATTATCAGAATCGCATCGGGTTTGTTACTCTGTTTCTTCTGTTTGTAGAAACTCCCTACTCTCTTGTCTGCATCCTCTGGTTGCTTTTTAGGACCTTGTTTATATCTGCCTTTTGATTTGCTCAAACCTTTTGAGTGTATTTGTCTAACAGCATAATAATCTTGAAACTTCTGTTGTGTGTATGAGCTAGCTGTTTATTTATTCTTTTTGTGATAGGCAGAGCTATCTGTTTTTGCTGCTAACCAGCTTCCTGTTTTTGAAGTTATGTTACTATTTGAGAGTTTCATGAAAAAAAAAAACAAAAGATAGGAACTTACATTTCCAGTTTCCTTTTCTTCTTCAAATGTTCCCTCACCTGTCCAAGATACATTGCTCATTAGTATTTAAGATAAAATCAGATATTCCACGGAAACTTACCTGCTTTACTTTCCCGTATTCTTGGAACATGCTTTGCAATTATGAGGAGTTAAAAGTGACCGGGTAGATTTACGGAACCAAAGAGCCATGAGCTGCCTGGATATCCTTGGAGAACCCTCTGGGTGGTGTCCATCTCTACCTAGGGGTTGTAGCAAGTGTGCTGTTTGCTTCTGTTGTGTTAAGAATTCTGATTCAGGAAGATGGGATATTTTGTATTTTCATGGTTAAAAAAAAATCCTAATTTTCTTTTACTTAATTATTAGGAATTATGCATTCAAAGCTAATACTCCAGCATTCATCCATGCATACTGGACATGTATCCAAAGTTCCTGAAAGCTGGGCCATACTGTGAGCCTCCCCTCTACACACCAGCCCCGTTGCCAGACATCCTCTCTCTTCCTTCCCAAAGCATTTCCACAGTAACAGCCTTATTGCCTTATGCTTGTTTAAGATGTCCAAAGGGGTGATGCTTTGTATTAACTGCGGCAATCACAAAGATGAGGTCTGTGAATCAGACCCTTCTATATTCATCTAAAAATTGTGCCAAGCCGCCTGCTGAGGCTGTGCTCTTGCTGGGGAAGGAAGTGAAGCCTTTGCAACTGCCTGAAACATGGCTGCCCTGGGGGTGTCGGTGAGATACAGCATTCCTCTACACTGTGTGCAGAAGCATTCACATACCACGTCAGTTTGGAGGCGACTCCTGGGAAATTACACTTTCTCTGATGAACTTTTCAGAGAAGGGTGCTTTGCCTTATTTAGTCAAAGTAGGGGGGAAAAAAGGTTTTTTTCAAAAGTTCTTAAAAATATGCATTTCAAATTTCAGAAGTTCCCCTAGTAACGCAATTGATCTTGAATCCATTTTCTTTTAAAGTTTTCCATTAAAACCTTAAAAAATACATGCAAATACATTTATCTTTAGACAATCTTGGGATCTGTAAAAGTAAATGAATTGTAATAAGACAAAATTAAAAATCCTTTTCATAATGCCATGAACTTCAAACATAAGCAGTAATTAAAAGTGTTACCAACAATAACAAGGAAGGGGCGTGAACTGGAGTCACCAAGTGTAGTTACTACATACCCAGTTCAATAAATGACTTTGTAAAAAGTTTTGTTGTCTTAGAGTTTTACAAAATTATATTATTTATTTCTTTTGAAACAGGGTCTCACTCTGTCATCCAGGCGCGAGTGCAGTGATTCGACATGGCTCACTGTAGCCTTGATCTCCTGGGCTCAAAAGATCCTCCAATCTCAGCCTCCCGAGTAGCTAGGACCACAGGCACACACCACCACACCTGGCTGATTTTTGCATTTTTTGTGCAGATGGGGTTTTGTCAAGTTGCCTGTAAAGTTTATTCTCTGAAAGGTTTATTGCCGAGTTAAAAACAAGGAAACTGAGGCCAGCACAAGAAAATTAGATGCCAATTTATTCAGCTCCCGGGCAAGGTTCTGTGGTCCTGGGGAGAGGGGCCAGGGAAGTCGCGCCTGATTCCTCTCAGGAGTGGGTTGTTATAGGGAGTGAAGGCATTTGATTGGATTTGGAGAAACAGGATGTGGACAGGGTGAGCTGCTATTGGTAGGTAGGTGGGATTTCTGGTGAGCGGGCCAAGTGCCGAGTGCAGAGGGGATTTCCAAGGGTGGGGTCAGGTGCCCAGTGCAGAGGGGATTTCCAAGGGTGGGGTCAGGTGCCCAGTGCAGAGGGGACTTCCAAGGGTGGGGTCAGGTGCCGAGTACAGAGGGGATTTCCAAGGGTGGGGTCAGGTGCCCAGTGCAGAGGGGATTTCCAAGGGTGGGGTCAGGTGCCCAGTGCAGAGGGGACTTCCAAGGGTGGGGTCAGGTGCCGAGTACAGAGGGGATTTCCAAGGGTGGGGTCAGGTGCCCAGTGCAGAGGGGATTTCCAAGGGTGGGGTCAGGTGCCCAGTGCAGAGGGGAGTTCCAAGGGTGGCGTCAGGTGCCCAGTGCAGAGGGGAGTTCCAAGGGTGGCGCAGGTGCCCAGTGCAGAGGGGATTTCCAAGGGTGGGGTCAGGTGCCCAGTGCAGAGGGGACTTCCAAGGGTGGGGTCAGGTGCCGAGTACAGAGGGGATTTCCAAGGGTGGGGTCAGGTGCCCAGTGCAGAGGGGATTTCCAAGGGTGGGGTCAGGTGCCCAGTGCAGAGGGGAGTTCCAAGGGTGGCGTCAGGTGCCCAGTGCAGAGGGGATTTCCAAGGGTGGGGTCAGGTGCCCAGTGCAGAGAGGATTTCCAAGGGTGGGGTTAGGTGCCCAATGCAGAGGGGATTTCCAAGGCGGAGCTAGATGATTGACATAATGTAAATTTTCAAGCGGGGAGGGAGTTGGGCGTGTCCGAACTCCGGCAAGGCAACCAGCCTTACATTGCCCAGGCTGATCTCGAACTCCTGGGCTCAAGTGACCCTCTTGCCATGGCCTCCCTGAGTGCTGGGATCACAGGCATGAGCCACCACGTCCAGCAAAAAATTACTTCCAATTACAAAAGTAATACATGAATTGCCTCTTGTGGTTAGAAAAAAAAAAAGCTCAAATAAATTTTGGTAAAATAAGTTCAAATAAATTGATCATCACTGTCATCCAATTCTCCTTATTGGAGAGAATTACTTTTATCAGTTTAATGTGTATACTTCCAGAATCCTTTCCATGTGTCTGAGTACGTGTGTGTGTGTGTACACATAGCAGTATCTTTCAAACTGTGTGCATTGTTCCACACCTTTCGTGTGTAATTTCTATAAATTTTTTTTGCCGTTTGCTTTTTAATACAATCCAACTTTCTTTTTTTGCTTGATGTGTCTTTCACATTTTCCATTTTAGTATTTGTAAATCTGCCTTAAGATTTTAAACTCATTTATTTTAAATTTAATTTTACTTTTTTATTTAGCTGGGTGCAGGTGGGCTAAGGCCGAGAAGGGTGTTAGCCAACTTCTTTCTTGTAAACTAACACTCCACAGTGTATTGCAGGCTGTTTGGCCGCCCTCCTCTTGTGGACGTGTGGACTGTTTCCATGTTTCGCTGTGACAGACTGTGCTTCAGTCAACATCCACGGGCGAGTCTCCTTGTGCGTTTCTCTAGAATAGATACTAAGAAGTCAAATTACTGGGTTGTAGTATGTGCTTATTTAATATTTTAATAGCTGTTTTGAGATTGGCTTCCAAAAAGCACATACTAATTTACACTCCTTCAACAGTGTATGAGGATACATGGTAGACTTTATGTTACATTTTCCTGGGGACCAACACATTTTTTTCTTTTTTCTTTTCTTTCTTTTTTTTTTTTTTTGTCACCCAGGCTGCAGGGCAGTGGTGCAATCTCAGCTCACTGCAACCTCCAGCCCCTGGGTTCCAAGTGATTCTTGTGCCTCAGCCTCTGAAGTAGCTGGGATTACAGGCACCCTCCACCATATCCAGCTGATTTTTAAAATATATATATATTTAGTAGAGACGGGGTTCCACCATGTTGGCCAGACTGGTTTCTAACTCCTGACCTCAAGTGATCCGCCTGCCTTGGCCTCCCAAAGTGCTGGGATTACAGATGTGAACCATCGTGCCCGGCCAAGCACATTTCTTTTTTGAGCAGGATCTCTGTATTAAGTAAAATCGTTAGTTTTTCATTCTGTCATACTACTTACTTGTGCTTTTTAACGTTTGTGTGTTTGTTATTTTTGTATTTGCATTACTTAGGGAGTACAGACGCCATACCTTCATTTATCTGCAATGCAGGAAGGATATTATACATTTCAGCTGGTGGTGACAGATTCTTCAGGGCAACAGTCGACTGCTGTGGTGACTGTGATCGTCTTGCCTGGTAGGTGGAGGGGAAAGAGATTTGGCCTTGAAGATTAAAGCAGAAATGATAGCTGGGCTTCTGGGCTTTGAAGATGCCCCATGTGGTGTTACTGGCCTGTGGCTGCTGAAGATCCATGTAAAACGAATTTGATTTTGAGGTTCTAAATCCCGCCTTGACTGTCTGTAATCTGTGGTATGGAGGATGAAGTGAGAGCCATCCACAGCACTGCTGTGGGCTCTGATTTGCCATGTGGATGCTTCCATACATGCCCCACTCTGCTGTAGAACGCTCCGGGGGTCTTGAAGGGGCTGGTTCTCATGTGTGGCCTGACACTCAGATGTAGCCTGACCTTGGGGAACACGTTACAGTTCAGCGTCACTGTTGATTAGTAGTTTCATGAAAACGCAGGCCTCTGCCTACGCCTGAGTCAAACAGCCTTAGAGGTAGCGATGAGATTATATTCAGCCTGTAGACAACGTATTTATGCCGCTAATACACAAAAAGAGCTGTCAGTTAGACTTGGGGATGTGGAACTAAACAAGATAGACTTGAGCTCTGCCCTTGCAGGGCTTCTGGAGAAGTTCACATAAAATTTTGTGATTGGTGCTTTACTAAAATAACCACAGGGTGCTAGAGGATTCCAAAGAGGGAGCGCTCGCCTGGGTGTGACGCATCCGAACAGAGCTCTTACAGGAGCTCAGGGTTAGAACCCAGGTCACAGTCAGTCAGTCAGGGAAGAAGGGGAGGGGTGGGCAGTGCAGGGCAAGAGGAAGAGTTCTCCGCAGAGGAAACGTATGCATGAGCGCCGAGGAAGGGTGGGCGTCCTGTGCATTCGAACAGTACGGGACAGTACGCATGAGAGCCGAGGAAGGGAGGGGGTCCTGTGTATTAAAACAGTATGGAACAGTGTGCATGAGCACCAAGGAAGGAAGGGGGTCCCGTGCATTCGAACAGTACGGGACAGTATGCATGAGCCCCGAAGAAGGGAGGGGGTCCCGTGCATTAGAACAGTACGGGACAGTACGCATGAGCGCCGAGGAAGGGGGTCCTGTGTATTAGAACAATATGGAACAGTGTGCATGAGCGCCGAGGAAGGGAGGGGGGTCCCGTGCATTAGAACAGTACGAGACAGTGTGCATGAGCGCCGAGGAAGGAAGGGGGTCCCGTGCATTAGAACAGTACGGGACAGTGTGCATGAGCGCCGAGGAAAGGAGGGGGTCCCGTGCATTAGAACAGTACGAGACAGTGTGCATGAGCGCCGAGGAAGGGAGGGGGTCCCGTGCATTAGAACAGTACGAGACAGTGTGCATGAGCGCCAAGGAAGGGAGGGGGTCCCGTGCATTAGAACAGTACGAGACAGTGTGCATGAGCGCCGAGGAAGGGAGGGGGTCCCGTGCATTAGAACAGTACGAGACAGTGTGCATGAGCGCCAAGGAAGGGAGGGGGTCCCGTGCATTAGAACAGTACGGGACAGTGTGCATGAGCGCCGAGGAAGGGAGGGGGTCCCGTGTATTCGAACAGTACGGGACAGTGTGCATGAGCGCCGAGGAAGGGAGGGGGTCCCGTGTATTAGAACAGTACGGGACAGTGTGCATGAGCGCCGAGGAAGGGAGGGGGTCCCGTGCATTCGAACAGTACGGGACAGTATGCATGAGCCCCGAAGAAGGGAGGGGGTCCCGTGCATTAGAACAGTACGGGACAGTACGCATGAGCGCCGAGGAAGGGGGTCCTGTGTATTAGAACAATATGGAACAGTGTGCATGAGCGCCGAGGAAGGGAGGGGGGTCCCGTGCATTAGAACAGTACGAGACAGTGTGCATGAGCGCCGAGGAAGGAAGGGGGTCCCGTGCATTAGAACAGTACGGGACAGTGTGCATGAGCGCCGAGGAAAGGAGGGGGTCCCGTGCATTAGAACAGTACGAGACAGTGTGCATGAGCGCCGAGGAAGGGAGGGGGTCCCGTGCATTAGAACAGTACGAGACAGTGTGCATGAGCGCCGAGGAAGGGGGTCCCGTGTATTAGAACAATATGGAACAGTGTGCATGAGCGCCGAGGAAGGAAGGGGGTCCCGTGCATTAGAACAGTACGAGACAGTGTGCATCAGCGCCAAGGAAGGAAGGGGGTCCCGTGCATTCGAACAGTACGGGACAGTGTGCATGAGCGCCGAGGAAGGGAGGGGGTCCCGTGTATTAGAACAGTACGGGACAGTGTGCATGAGCGCCGAGGAAGGGAGGGGGTCCCGTGTATTAGAACAGTACGAGACAGTGTGCATGAGCGCCAAGGAAGGGAGGGGGTCCCGTGCATTAGAACAGTACGAGACAGTGTGCATGAGCGCCGAGGAAGGGAGGGGGTCCCGTGCATTAGAACAGTACGAGACAGTGTGCATGAGCGCCAAGGAAGGGAGGGGGTCCCGTGCATTAGAACAGTACGGGACAGTGTGCATGAGCGCCGAGGAAGGGAGGGGGTCCCGTGTATTCGAACAGTACGGGACAGTGTGCATGAGCGCCGAGGAAGGGAGGGGGTCCCGTGTATTAGAACAGTACGGGACAGTGTGCATGAGCGCCGAGGAAGGGAGGGGGTCCCGTGCATTCGAACAGTACGGGACAGTATGCATGAGCCCCGAAGAAGGGAGGGGGTCCCGTGCATTAGAACAGTACGGGACAGTACGCATGAGCGCCGAGGAAGGGGGTCCTGTGTATTAGAACAATATGGAACAGTGTGCATGAGCGCCGAGGAAGGGAGGGGGGTCCCGTGCATTAGAACAGTACGAGACAGTGTGCATGAGCGCCGAGGAAGGAAGGGGGTCCCGTGCATTAGAACAGTACGGGACAGTGTGCATGAGCGCCGAGGAAGGGAGGGGGTCCCGTGCATTAGAACAGTACGAGACAGTGTGCATGAGCGCCGAGGAAGGGAGGGGGTCCCGTGCATTAGAACAGTACGAGACAGTGTGCATGAGCGCCGAGGAAGGGGGTCCCGTGTATTAGAACAATATGGAACAGTGTGCATGAGCGCCGAGGAAGGGAGGGGGTCCCGTGCATTAGAACAGTACGAGACAGTGTGCATCAGCGCCGAGGAAGGAAGGGGGTCCCGTGCATTCGAACAGTACGGGACAGTGTGCATGAGCGCCGAGGAAGGGAGGGGGTCCCGTGTATTAGAACAGTACGGGACAGTGTGCATGAGCGCCGAGGAAGGGAGGGGGTCCCGTGTATTAGAACAGTACGAGACAGTGTGCTTGAGCGCCGAGGAAGGGAGGGGGTCCCGTGCATTAGAACAGTACGAGACAGTGTGCATGAGCGCCGAGGAAGGGGTTCCCGTGCATTCGAACAGTACGGGACAGTGTGCATCAGCGCCGAGGAAGGGAGGGGGTCCTGTGTATTAGAACAGTACGAGACAGTGTGCATGAGCGCCGAGGAAGGGAGGGGGTCCCGTGCATTAGAACAGTACGAGACAGTGTGCATGAGCGCCGAGGAAGGAAGGGGGTCCCGTGCATTAGAACAGTACGAGACAGTGTGCATGAGCGCCGAGGAAGGAAGGGGGTCCCGTGCATTAGAACAGTACGAGACAGTGTGCATGAGCGCCGAGGAAGGGAGGGGGTCCTGTGTATTAGAACAGTACGGGACAGTACGCATGAGCGCCAAGGAAGGAAGGGGGTCCCGTGCATTAGAACAGTATGAGACAGTGTGCATGAGCACCTAGGTAGAGAGGGGGTCCCGTGCATTCGAACAGTACGGGACAGTACGCATGAGCGCCGAGGAAGGGAGGGGGTCCCGTGCATTAGAACAGTATGGGACAGTGTGCATGAGCACCAAGGAAGGGAGGGGGTCCCGTGCATTAGAACAGTATGGGACAGTATGCATGAGCGCCGAGGAAGGAAGGGGGTCCCGTGCGTTCGAAGATGAAAAGGAATTACTATGACTGAAGAGAGGGAAAAGAGGTAGGGGTGTGGGAATGGGAGGCGGTGTGGAGGGCGGGCACTGGAATGTCCATGGATGATCCCAGAGTGCCCGGGGCTCCATCCTAAAGGGCTTTGTAAATGTATGTCACCCCAATACTCCATCCTAAAGCCAGGGGAGACCACTGTCCTGTAGTCCTGTAGTGAGTAGGGTCATCAGGACTGTGGTGTGGTCCAGACATTGGGTAATGGCTGCCACAACTTTTGACGACATGACTTTTTTTTTTTTTTTTTTTTTGAGACAGGGTCTCATCTGTTGCCCAGGCTGGTCTCAAACTCCTGGGCTCAAGCAATTATCTCACCCTTGGCCTCCCAAAGTGCTGGGATTACAGGCGTGAACCACCACACCTGGACCTTTTACTTGTTAACAGATATTTCGTCTATTTATATAAATATCAGCAATTTTTTTTTCCTCAAGAGAGTCTCACTCTGTCATCTAGGCTGGAGTGCAGTGGCACAAACTCGGCTCACTGCAATCTCTGCCTCTCAGGTTCAAACGATTCTCCTGCCTCAGCCTCCTGAGTTGCTGGGATTACAGGTGTTTGCCACCATGCCTGGCTAATTTTTGGATTTTTAGTAGAAATAGGGTTCGCTATGTTGGCCTTGCTGGTCTCAAACTCCTGGCCTCAAGTGACCCACCTGCCTCAACCTCCCAAAGTGTTGGGATTACAGGCGTGAGCTCCCACGCCCCGCCAATATCAGCAATACTTTATATCTTTTTTTAAAGATGGGGTTTCACCATGATGGCCTGGCTGGTCTTGAACTCCTGACCTCAGGTGATCCACCCACCTCGGCCTCCCAAAGTGCTACGATTACAGGTGTGAGCCACCATGCCCCGCCTACTTTATATCTTTTACTTTTGTTCAACATTTAATTTAAAGTGTTAGCACTGAGGCTGCAGAGACAAAAGGAAGTAAGCCCTACCTGAGGAAGCAGGTCTTTTCACATGAATGTCCCCGCCGCCCTCTCTGTGATGTCACCTCCCTCCTTCTCTGTCTCCCTTCCTTCTTTTCTTCCTCTCAGTTTTCTTGCTCCCTAACCCCTTCTTCCCTCTCTTCTTCCACCCTTCCTCCCTTTCCTTGGTCCCTCTGACTGAAGATTTTTTTTTTTTTTTTTAAAGAAACCAAAGATGTGTCTGTTAGAGACAGTGTTTCTTGGCTGCCTGTAACCCCAGTCTTGAGCTTGAACTGTTCAACTCCTAGATCAGCTAGGAGGCTGGATTGCTTCACTCCAGGGTTCCAAAGGACACTGCATATTCTAATGGCTGCCTGGTCTCAAGATGAGTGATTTGCTTAAATCAAGAAATCACGGGATTGCAGACTTAAAGAGATAATACTTTTTCACACTGTTTCCCTAATCCCAGAAAACAACAGACCTCCAGTGGCTGTGGCTGGCCCTGATAAAGAGCTGATCTTTCCAGTGCAAAGTGCCACCCTGGATGGGAGCAGCAGCAGCGATGACCACGGCATTGTCTTCTACCACTGGGAGCACGTCAGGTAGCCCGCCTCACTGCTGGGCCAGACTCACGCCCATGCCGAATGCTCATATTATCCCTTCTCTGCAGGATCTGCGGTAAACAGTCAGCTAGAGTGTTTTGAGGAGTCGGGATTTAAGCACGTTTCTAGAAGTGGCTGGGCGTTACTGGTTGAAGAGGACATTCATTAAGTGTGGGTGGACGTGTTGACAGTGGAAGGAGGCGGAGCTCGGGGCAGGTGAACAGGGCCGTCCTGCTGTGAGACCAGCTCACCGCAGAAGAGGCCCAGGGAAACCTGTGTGTGATCCCGTCTACACTCACGCCACCCTGCAGGGACTGTGGACAGCAGAAGTGCAGAGTGTAAGGGCGACCCATGTCATCTAACATTTTCTGAGCTTTACATGCCCTGTCTCATAGAACCCTGTATTGGTTTGTAAGAGATAAATAAGAATCTTATTCCTCTTTAAAGTTGAAGAAACTGAGGCTTGTGACACTAATAACATGGACTAAGGTTGCCCAGATAGTCAGAGAAAGAGCCTGGACCCACCTCGGTACTGCTGATAAGCCGCTGTCTTCATGACTCTACTGTGGCTTCTCTCTTAGGAGAGGGCTTACCTGGCTTATTCCCTCCTCCTCCATGGACTCCCTAAAGATACGTGAGGATTTAACCTAATTTTACTCAAAGAAGAAATGGGAGTCATTTCTAAGGCTCCATTTTCCAAGGATAGATGATTTCAATGGCAGCTTGACTTAAAAAAAATCGAGAACAAGTATTCTCTTCCCAGTAATCCAGCAGACTCCATCTGAAATAGGTTTTAGCTTGTGACTCGTACACTGAACTAGAGAGTACAGATGAATGGAGTGTTCTTAGAATTCTCTGAATGGCATATATCACAGCCGGAGCACAACATTGACGAACGCGCACATCACATGCCTGTCGTGTTCGGAGCCCAGCCTCCTCCCTCGCGTTAACGGCTTCCCTGTGTTCCAGAGGCCCCAGTGCAGTGGACATGGAGAACACTGACAAGGCGGTAGCCACCGTGACTGGCCTCCAGGTGGGAACCTACCACTTCCGCCTGACAGTGAGAGACCGGCAGGGACTGAGTAGCACGTCCGCGCTCACCGTGGCCGTGAAGAAGGGTGAGTGGGTCTGAGGACGGGGCTGGGCCCGCTCCGCCCTCGAGTCTGCAGGGCCATCAGCCAGGTCACGACTGTTCAGAGATGTTGGCGTTTGCTTATTTCTTCACAGCAGATGTCGAACCCCTGCCTGGCAAAAAAAAAGCCAGCTCACTTCTATTCCCGTGAGCTGTGTCCTGTCGCTTTCTGCAAGAAGGCTTTCCTTTTATTTGTGAAGCATATCATCTAACGACATCACGCTTCCTCTGCAACTGCCAGCGATGACTGACCCCTGTCCAAATGACACCGTTATGCTTTCTTATTTCTTTCTCCCTTGGAAATTCAAGAAAAGAGATGTTTTCAAATTCCGTATTGTTTCCTAATGTGGAATCTGTGGTCTAGACCTGGCAGTACTGCTTTAGGTACCTGTCTCCTCATCTGTCTTCCCATTTGGCTGTGAACTGCCTGATTGCCTTTGCTTCAGACACCACTGTATCCTCAGTATAGCAAGTGCTAGACTCATGGCAAATCAGAGATGTTGAATGAATCAGTGAACGGATACTCACTACGAGTTGAAGTGCAGGGGAGTGTAAGAGACGGGCCGGATGGAAAGGTCCAAGCTTTGTGGAATGGCAGGGGTGTGGGATGCCGGGAGAGTGGCTGCAGCCCAAGGCACGGACTCTGCCATGGAGGGTTGTATGTGCCACAGGCCATGCCTAGGGCTTTGGACTTTATCCTCTGGGAAGCTGGGAGAGGCTGAAGCAATTTTAATAGCAAAGTGATACAGATTCAGATTTTTAAAATGATTTTATTGTAGAGATACAGCTTGCACAGGCATGTTGACTTGTTTCTATGGGGAAATTGGAGGGATCAGGCGGGTCCCAGAGCCCCATCTGGACAAGCAGGATTTGCCTCACGGCAGGCTCATCTTCAGGGGACGCCGTGTCTAATTATGGTCTCCCCACTCTGCCCCAGTCTGGTTAGTGCTCCCTGGCCTCTCTTTTCTGAAGCTCTTACATCAGAAATAGCTCTTACATTGCCTCATTATTTTACTTTAAAACTAGACACAGGGTCTCACTCTGTTGCCCAGACTGGAGTCTAGTGGTGCGATCATAGCGCATTGCAGCCTCAAACTCCTGATCTCAAGTGATCCTCCCACCTCAGCTTCCTGAGGAGCTGGGACTACAGGTGTGTGTCACCGTGCCCAGCTAATACTTTTAATTTGTTTTGTGTGTGGAGACGGGGTCTTGCTACCCAGGCTGGTCTTGAACTTCTGGCTTCAAATGCTCTTCCTGCCTCCGCCTCCCCAGTTGTTAGGATTACAGTTATGAGCCACCATGACTGGCCTTGCCTCATTTACATTTAACACCTAGTCTGAGAGGTGAGGGCTGAATTACCATTGTTATTATTTTAATTTTTAATGTTTTGTAGAGATGGAGTTTTGCTGTGCTGCCCAGGCCAGTCTCAAACTCTTGGTCTCCTGTGATTCTCCTGCTTCAGCCTCCTAATGTGCTGGGATTAGAGGTGTGAGCCACTGCACACAGCTTATTTTTTGTTCAGTTTTTTTTTTTTTTTTTTTAATCTTAGAGAGTCAAGATTTGGCAGTACTTGAAGTGGAAATATTTCTGGCCGGATAGTGTGGACCAGTACAAAATGACCCAGAGTATATTTTAAAATGTTTTCACTTACAGCACCCTAAGTGTATGTAAGATCATTGTTTCTGTTTTTCAGGACAGAAAAAGCATAACAATATTAGAAAAATTCCCAATATATAGCTTGCCACCTGCTTTACCTTTTCATCCCAAATGATAGCTAGCTAAGCATAAATGGAGCTTTAAGGAGGTCTATCATTATCTTACAGGCATTTGGGAAAGAGTGCCTTTTTGGATATTTAAAATCTGCATACTGTATCTGCAAGGTGGAAGAGTTGTGGGTGTTTTATGACACACCACTTCTATCACTCGTGTTTTAAATCAGTCTCTTTCCTTTCATTTTTGCTCTATTTGACTTAGAAACTAATAGTCCTCCCAGAGCCCGGGCTGGTGGAAGACATACTCTTGTGCTTCCCAATAACTCCATTACTTTGGATGGTTCAGAGTCTACTGATGACCAAGGAATTGTGTCCTATCTGTGGATCCGGGACGGCCAGAGTCCAGCAGCTGGAGTGAGTACTGACAGAGAATGGCACTTGGACTGCTTATCATTACCTCTGCACCAGTCAGCCTGGGCCGCCTCAGTAGCATACCACAGAATATTGTAGGATATAAGCATAAGGAGCCTTAAACAGCAGAACTTCGGGCCGGGTGTGGTGGCTCACGCCTGTAATCCAAGCACTTCAGAGGCCAAGGTGGGCGGATCACCTGAGGTCAGGGGTTCAAGACCAGCCTGACCAACATGGTGAAACCCATCCTTAAAAAAAAAAAAAAGCAGAACTTCATTCTGTCACCCTTACGGAAGCTGGAAAGACAGGCTCAGGTTGCTGGCTAATTCCATTTCAGGTGAAGTCTTTCTTCCTGGCTTGCAAACAGCTGCTTTCTTACCATGTCCTCCCATAGCAGGGGAACAGAGCACCCTGGTGTCTCTTCTTATGAGGACACTAATCCTATTGGATCAGGGGCCTACCCTCATGACTTCAAGTAATCTTAACTACTTCCATATAGGTCCTATTTCTAGATAAAGTCACATGGGGTTAGGGCTTCAATATATGAATTTGGGAAGGACACAATTCAGTCCATGGCAGCATCTCTACTGTGACTTCATCTGTCTTCCCATGTTCCCTGTAAGGTGCTTATGCTTCGACATTTGAATGTTCTCAAGGCTGGGGGCAGCAGGCTGCTTTGAGATTTAAACAAAAGCTGAAATCCTTTCTTTTTCCTGAACAGACTTTGGATGGGGCAGGAAGCCGTAGCTTGGAAGGACTTTGAGGTCAAGTCTTCCAGTGGGAATCATCCTGCTCCTTAGCTTTTCCATCTTTCCCATTTGGTCCAGGTAGATTCATTCCTGTTCCTCACATTGTACCAGATGAGTCAGTAGGTCAAGGATTGCAGTTTCCATTTCACAGATGCAGAAAGCAGAATACAGAGATGAAGAGTGACCTGGCCAAGGTTAATCCATTTCTAATCAAACTAGACACACCCGGATTCTTAGCGCCTGGCCGGCATAGTACCCCCATTAGACCACTCTGCCTCTTAGGACACAACTCTGTACATCTTCATTCCTGCCGTTTCTGAGGACTGCAGTGATACAGATTCACGCTTGGCGATGTACTGAAGGAGTGGTCACAGGGGAGGAACTGAAAATGCTTTATACTTTCTCAGCACTTCTCGAATTAGCACGATTCAACTGGACGGGGGTTAGCCTTTAAATAGAATGACAGTGGGTCTCTGTTCAGAGCACTTATTCGCTATCATGCCTTCTGTTAGCAGGGATCTGGGAGGTTCTTCTCTAATTACTTTGGAGCTTAGAAGCACACAGAACAGAGGGTTCTACCCAGGGTCTTGGTTATTTGAGGTGAACATGATATGTTATGAGTGAATTCAAGATGAGAGTTTTGTAAAGCTATGTCTGAAAATAAGAGCTAGGGCCAGGCGTGGTGGCTCATGCCTGTAATCTCAGCACTCTGGGAAGCCGAGGCAGGCAGATCACAAGGTCAGGAGACTGCAATCATCCTGGCTAACCCAGTGAAACCCCGTCTCTACTAAAAACACAGAAAATTAGCCAGGCATGGTGGCATGTGCCTATAATCCCAGCTCCTCAGGAGGCTGAGGCAGGAGAATTGCTTCAACCCGGGAGGCAGAGGTTGCAATGAGCGGAGATCTCACCACTGCACTCCTGCCTAGGTGACAGAGCGAGGCTCCCTCTCTAAATAAATAAATAAATGAAAAAGAAAATAGGACCCAGAAACCCTGTGTTTTGTTCTCAGGGTCCTTGCCCTAATTCAAAAGGTCTTTCCCTTTGTTGCATGCAGTTAATTATTTGGTAATAATTCCGGGAATGTGCTTGGTAAACTCCGCTCAGGAAATACTGAGGATGCGACCCCTGGCGCTTTCTGGAGCAGAGATGCTGAGGATTTCTCCTGTCTTTAGCTATCCCCACAACCCCATTCCCCTGCAGCCTCCCTCTGAAAGTCATGCCTGTGTTAAAAAGATGGGACACTGGGGTCAACAGAAGCCCAGAAATTGGGGCGTGAGTATTGACAACTGCCCTGTGATCCGTGTTCTTTCGTAGGATGTCATTGACGGCTCTGACCACAGCACGGCGCTGCAGCTTACGAATCTGGTGGAGGGGGTGTACGCTTTCCACTTGCGAGTCACTGACAGTCAGGGGGCCTGGGACATGGACACTGCCACTGTGGAAGTGCAGCCAGGTGTGTTCCTGGGCTCTGGGGCTGGCCATGCGTGATCTGGCCGGTCGCCTTTGCAGTCTTTGTGCTGAGAGGTGTGACCAGCATGGGAGGCCTCCTGTGGCTGGCTCCGGCTCTTGGCCCGACCCACTTTGAGGATGTCTCTTACACCTTGTTGTGTATCCCCAGGTAGATCCAGCCTTTTCACTCTTTAAAGAGAATGTTATCTGGCTGGCTGGTTGCAGTGGCTCACGCCTATAATACCAGCACTTTGGAAGGCTGAGGTGGACAGATTGCCTGAGGTCAGGAGTTCAATACCAGCCTGGCCAACATGGTGAAACCCCATCTCTACTAAAAAAAAAATACAAAAATCAGCCGAGCCTGGTGGCACATGCCTGTGATCCCAGCTGCTGGGGAGGCTGAGGCAGAAGAATTGCTTGAGCCAGGGAGATAGAGGTTGCAGGAGCCTAGATCGTGCCACTGCACTCCAGCCTGGCTGACAGAGCAAGACTCTGTCTCAAAAAAAAAAAAAGAGAGAATGTTATCTGGCAACTAGATTTTCTTTTCCTGCCAGAAGACAAAGACCCAGTGTGAAGCAGACACCAGGGCCTCCATACTGCGGCACGGAAGAGGCAGCTCCAGTGAAGCGGCCGTAACAACCCAGCACTAAGGGAACCGCGCAGGGCCCGTGGCACTCACAAGCAAAATTCTCTTTCCAGTCCTGGGGAAGTGTAGGAAGAGGCTGAAATTTTCGGTTAGCCCAGAGGCTAATTAGGTACACCCAGTTATCTTCTGGAAAAGAAATAGTAACAAACTGGGATCCAACATGGGAAAGGCCTCCCACATACTGGGCCTCTTAGAATGGTGCTTAGAAGAATTTCCCTGCGTCCTGCAGCTCAGATGTAGAAGTGGCACGGGAGTCATTTTGAGCTCTTATGGAAACCTCACTCCCTATACGCTAAAGCCTGTGCAAAATCTTGTCCCTTCTCTTTTCCCAGACCCTAGGAAGAGTGGCCTGGTGGAGCTGACCCTGCAGGTTGGTGCCGGGCAGCTGACCGAGCAGCGGAAGGACACGCTCGTGAGGCAGCTGGCTGTGCTGCTCAACGTGCTGGACTCGGACATCAAGGTCCAGAAGATTCGGGCCCACTCAGATCTCAGGTAGGAGCTGCACACGCATGGCGGGGCCTTGGCCCTACAGAGTTCCAGCTCTTACCTCATCCCGGTCCAGTAGGAACCTGTTCGGCCCTCTGCGTCTTCTGTATTTTACACACACTTTCATCCCATTCATGTGCTTTTTTTTCGCAAAGGGCAGTAGGAAGGCCAGCCTCCTTCCAGGTCCTTCCTGTGATTCTCAGTAGATGTTTTCGGACAGATGGGCAATGCTCTCAGGGAAGGAGCTGAGGAACGGCAGAGGGAGACGGTTGTGAGCTCCTGTGTCTTCAGAGCCGGGCAAGGGGTCAGGGCAGGTGAAGAGGATGCCTCACAGCTGGGCTGGTCCCCACCCCATGCTCGTGGGGACTGAGGCTTCTCTCCATGTGCAATGATCACTGACTACCATTTGCCATCTCCAGGGAGGATATGAGGCTGAAACTCCGGCCTTTAGTTTTTATGAGATTTTTGTATTTAATTGGGATTTATTTATTTATTTATTTATTTGCTTACATATTATTTTTATTTTTAAAGACAGAGTCTCACTCTGTTGCCCAGGCTGGAGTGCAGTGGCACGATCTCAGCTCACTATAACCTCCACCTTTAAGAGTCAAGTGATTCTCCTGCCTCAGCTATCCAAGTAGCTGGGACTACAGGTGCCCACCACTACCCCTGGCTAATTTCAGTATTTTTAGTAGAAGCAGAGTTTCACCGTGTTGGTCAAGCCAGTCTCAGAACTCCTGACCTCAAGTGATCTGCCCGCCTAAGCCTCCCAAAGTGCTGGGATTACAGGTGTGAGCAACCATTCCCAGCTGAGTTTTATTTTTAAAGTCTTATCTAGCCCAGGATGCGGGGGAGGAGGGAGAGAAAGAATATGGAAATGAAAACCCACTATTCACGGTAACTCCATTTGCCTAGCTATTGTCAGGTCATCCACTTTGGTTAGTTTTCCAGAGAACTATGTAAGTTCACTTAGAAAAACACCAAATTAAAACATGTTTTAATTATTTTCTAAGAAACTGTTTCTAAAATGGATCATATATTTCCCTTGTAAAATAGCAACTACTGAATCCAAAACATGCCTGAAAATCAACAAAACCAAAAGTTGTTTCCTGGGCAGATGAGCAAAATTGATAAATCTTTAGCTATACTAAGAAAAAAAAATAGAGAAGACTCATATTACTAAAATTAGGAATGAAATAAGGCAGATGACTCCTGACTTTATAGAAATAAAAAGGGCTGGGTGCAGTGGCTCATGCCTGTAATCCCAATGCTTTGGGATGCCAAGGCAGGCAGATCACTTGAACCCAGGAGTTCAAGACCAACCTAGGCAATGGCAAAACCCTATCTCCACAAAAAATTAGCCAGGTGGCCAGGCGCAGTGGCTCATGCCTGTAATCCCAGCACTTTGGGAGGCTGAGCCGGGTGGATTACTTGAGGTCAGGAGTTCAAGACTAGCCTGGATCTGTACTAAAAACACAAAAATTAGCTGAGTGTGGTGGCGAGTGCCTATAATTCCAGCTACTTGGGAGGCTGAGGCAGGAGAATCGCTTGAACCCAGGAGGCGGAGGTTGCAGTGAGCTGAGTTTGTACTACTGCACCCCAGCCTGGGCAACAGAGTGAGACTCCATCTCAAAAAAAAAAAAAAAAATTAGCCAGGCATGGTGGCACATGCCTGTGGTCCCAGCTACCCAAAAGGCCGAGGTGAAAGGATCACCTGGGAGGTTGAGGCTGCTGTGAGCCATGTTCACATCACTGCATTCCAGCCTGGGCAACAGAATGAGACCCTGTTTCCAAAAAAAGGTGGGGGGTGGTAGATTATAAGGGAATACTATGGATCATTGTGTGTCAACAAATTAGATAACCTAGATGAAATGAGCAAATTCCTGAACAGGCATAAACTACAAAAACTCACTTGAGAAGAACTTAAAAATCTAAATTGAGCTATAACAAATAAAGATTACATTAGTAACAAAGAGATTACATTAGTAATGTGAAAACTATCCACAAAGCTCAAGACCAGTTGGCTTCACTGGTGAAATCTGCAAAACGTTTAAAAAATTAACAGTCCTTCACAAACGTCCAAAAAATAGAAGAGGAGGGAACATCTCCCAACTCATTCAATGAGACTAGTTTTACCTTGACATTAAAATCAAAGACATCACAAGAAATGAGAACTACAGACCAATATTCCTTGTGAATATCAAAGCAAAAATCTACAACAAAATGCTATCATAGTAAGTTGCTGAATCCAGCAACTTATTATAAGGTTTATTATAGACCATAACCAAGTGGGATTAACGAAGTGGGATTTATCCCAGGAATGCAAGTGTGGTTCAATATATAAAAATCAATAATGCAATAAACCACATTAACAGGATAAGGGACAAAACCACAAGATCTTCTCAATAGGCACAGGAAGAGCATTTGACAAAATCCAACACCCTTTCATTATAAAACACTTGTTGTGGATTGAATTCTATCCTCCAAAAAATCTAGTCCAGCCGTAACCTCTGCTACCTATGAATGTGACCTTACCTAGAAATAGGGTCATTGCAGATATAATTAGTTAGGAAGTTATACTGGTGTAGGCTGGGCTCTTAAACCAATATGACTGCTGTTCTTTTTTTTTTTTTTTGAGATGGAGTCTCATTCTGTCACCAGGCTGGAGTGCAGTGGCGTGATCTCGGCTCACTGCAACCTCTGCCTCCTGGGTTCAAGCGATTTTCCTGCCTCAGCCTCTTGAGTAATTAGGATTACAGGCACCTGCCACCACACCCAGCTAATTATTGTATTTTTAGTAGCGATGGGGTTTCTCCATGTTGGCTAGGATGGTCTCGATCTCCTGGCCTCATGATCCTCCTGTCTCGGCCTCCCAAAGTGCTGGGATTGCAGGTGTGAGCCACCACACCTGGCCATGACAGCCATTCTTTAAAGAAGAGAACAAGAGACACAAAGAGAGACACACAGACAGAGCACCACTTAATGACAGAGGCAGGGACTGGAGTGATTTCCTCCACAGCTAAGGAATACCATGGATCGCCGGCAGCACCGAAACTAACAGAACACTCTGATTGCTCCAGAACTGTGAGAAGAAGTTTCTCGTGTTTAACCCACTTTGTAGGACATGTTTAACAGCAACCCTAGGAGATGATGACAGATTACAGTAGCTATTTCTCCAAAGAAGATATACAGTTGGTGGATAAGCACGTGAAGACATGCTCACCATTAGCCACCAGGGAAATGCTAGCCAAAACCACAGTGAGCTATCACTTCACACCTGCTAGGATGGCTAGAATCCAAAAGACAGGCCGTAGCAAGTGCTGACGAGCCTGTGGAGAAACTGGAGCACTTGTACATTGCTGGTGGGAGTGTATAATGGTACAGTCACTGTGGAATACAGTTCGACAGTTCCTCAGTACACTAAGCATACAGTTACCATATAACCCATTAATTTCACTCCTAGGTATATACTCAATAAAAATGAAAAACTTATGTCTACACAGAAACTTTTATATGAATGGTCATAGCATGAATTCATAATAGCCAGAATGTAGAAGGAACTCAAATGTCCACCGACCTATGAACAAATAAAAAATGTGATACATTCATACAACAGAATATCGTTTGGCAATAAAAAGGAGTAAAGTACTGACACGTGCTACAACACGGATGCACTCTGAAAACATGACGCTAAGTGAAAGAAGCCAGACGCAGATGGCCACATGTTCCATGATTCCCTCTACCTGAAGTGTCCAGATAAGGCAAATCCATAGAAACCAAAAGCAGATTCGTGGTTGCCAGGGACAGTGGGGAGGGGGTGCTAATGAGTGTGGATTGTGTTTCTGGGGTGATGAAGATGTTTTGAAATTAGGTAGTGGTGATGGTTGTGCAGCTTTGTAAATATACTAAACGCCATGAAATTGACATTCTAGAAGGGTGAATTTTATGATATGTAAACTATGTCTCAAAAAGGGTAAAAAGAAAGACATGACTGCAAGTTATCGTTTTGTGTATATTTGTCTTTTTGCGCACATATATACATTGCTCCTTTAAAAAAACTTACTATTATGGAATTATTGCAAAGGTTGTATTAAAGGAAACAAATGAACAGCCAGCTGAAAAGGTACATAGGGAAAGCTCTAGAAGGGGCCGGAGCACGGGAGCCTCCATCCCCGTGGAGTTTGGGGTGTGACACTTCATACATCCCAGCGCAAAGATGCATTCTTCTTCACTAACCTGGTAGCTCTCCAGACCCCTCTGCTTAGGATTTTCAAAACCTGATACATAAATGACACATTGCTCCTTTTATCTGAAGATCTGTCTTTGATCAGCTGTACACTGAGACTGAAGAGGCTTTGCAAATAGAAACGGGTCAATTCCTTAGCTCACAGATATGCCCCTGTTCTTGGCAAGCCGCAGAGCTGTGGCCGTCTACCTCCCCAGCTTCATAGGTCAGATGCTACGGTGGGCAGGCCATGTCAGTCACCGAGTGACCACATGGCTGTCCTCTCTCATCGTCTCCTCTGCAGCACCGTGCTTGTGTTTTACGTACAGAGCGGGCCACCTTTCAAGGTTCTCAAAGCTGCTGAAGTGGCCCAAACTCTGCACATGCGGCTCTCAAAGGAGAAGGCTGACTTCTTGCTTTTCAAGGTCCTGAGGATTGATACAGCAGGTATGTTCCTATGGAATATTTCAGAATAATCAGACTTGCTTATCATGGATAAGTTTTAGAAACACAGAAGGGAAGTGACATGTGAACATTTTCCTTTTAGCGTCCAGGGACTTGTTCTGCATTTGTTTCCCCAGTGGGTTTCCTGCAACACACATTTGCCAGCTACTCTTGGTCTTGGGAGAAAAATGGAGAGCAATAATAATTATGGGCCCAAAATTAAGGTTATACTCACAAGATAATGGCCGTTGGCAGAAAGAACAATGTTAAAGGCAAATAAGTGTTACTGGCTGGAAAAGCCATGTAGATATAATTTATGTCCTCTGAACATCCTGCCTTAGGTTGTGATGATAATGCCATATAGCTCCTTGAAAATTTAAGGCAGCTCACAAACGCCTCCTCCAGGTGTACCTCTTTTCTTAGCTCCTGTTTGCCACCACTTCCAGGGCACCAGAATGATTCACAGTCCCATTGTTTCTGTCTTCATTTCATGAGTAACACAAATCACTTGTTATGTTGAAGTAGTCATTTCAGTAGACACCAGGGAAACGAGAGTTACAGGGACATGATAATGTTTGGGCAGGAAAACTTAATTTGTTTCAGATATATATATATATATATACACACACACACATACACACACACATATGTCTGCATACAATTGACTTTCTCAGTTATAATATGGACTAAGTTTTTTTTTTTTTTTGAGATGGAGTCTTGCTCTGTCACCCAGGTTGGAATGCAATGGCGCAATTAAGGCTCACTGCAACCTCTGCCTCCTAGGTTCAAGCAGTTCTCTACCTCAGCCTCCTGAGTAGCTGGGACTACAGGCACCCACCACCACACCTGGCTAATTTTTTTATTTTTAGTAGAGACAGGATCTCATCATCTTGGCCGGGCTGGTCTTGAACTCCTGACCTTGTGATCCATCTGCCTTGGCCTCCCAAACTGCTGGGATTACAGGCATGAACCATTGTGCCCAGCAAGTAATTTTTAATATCTGTCTGTTCATTTGTTCGTTCTTTCTTTTTCTTTTTTTGGTATTTTTAGTACAGATGAATTCTCGCTATGTTGGCCAGGCTGGTCTTGAACTCCTGGCCTCAAGTGATCCGCCTGCCTCGGCCTCCCAAAGTGCTGGGATTATAGGCATGAACCACCATGCTCTGGCAATAACTCCTTTTTATTCTAGCTACAAAAATATTATCTATTTATTGTACAAAATTTAGGATATCCAGAAAGGCACAAAAAAGAAAATAATTTTCCAAATTCTAAGTCCAAAATTCTCACCATCCAAAGATAATTTTTGTTAACACTGTGATATATGTTTTCCCAGTTCCCTCACCTCTAGAAATACTACCATCAGGATGACTTGATATATATTTTTAATCTGATTTTTAACTTCAAATCTTATTCTGAGCCAGGCACAGTAGCACGTGCCTATAATCCCAGCTACGCCAGAGGCGGAGGGAGGATGTCTTGAGGCTCGGAGTTTGAGACCAGCCTCGGCAACACAGCAACAAGACCTTGCCTCTTAAAAATATATATATTATGATTATGTCCTCAAAGATTTGTACGGCCATAGTATTCTACCCTGGATATATTCCATAATTGTACAACCAGTTCCTTATTCCTGGATTTTAAGGTTCGTTTTAAAATAATGCTACAATGTAGATAGATCCTCGGGTATGTCCTCAATGATTGCTACTACACTCCAGATAAATACTCAGAATTCTGTTCTTAGGCCAGCCGTATGTGCTTGTTATGTTTTTGCTACTTTTTTGAGTCTCCCTCTGTCACCAGGCTGGAGTGTGGTGGTGTGATTGTGGCTCACTGAAACCTCTGCCTCCTGGGTTGAAGTGATTCTTGTGTCCCAGCCTCCCAAGTAGCTGGCATTACAGGCGCACATCATCACAGCCAGCTAATTTTTAGTAGAGATGGAGTTTCATCAAGTTGGCCAGGCTGGTCTCAAACTCCTGTCCTCAAGTGATCCACTTGCCTTGGCCTCCCAAAGTGCTGGGATCACAGGCGTGAGCCACCACCCACCACCAGTAAAGATTTTTAAGGCTTTTGCTACGTGGTGTGGATTGGCTTCTTCTGTCATTTGCTTTCTGATGAGATCGTCAACGATGAGGGGCTATTTTTAGAAGCCGTGTCCACACTGTAAGACATTCTTCATTCAGCAGGATGCATTTATTTGGGGCCTAAGCTACTGCAAACACAAAAGACGCTGAATGCAGGGATTCCCTTTCCTGTGTGCTGACCTCAGCCCTGCACATCGCTCTGCAGGTTGCCTTCTGAAGTGTTCTGGCCATGGCCACTGCGACCCCCTCACAAAGCGCTGCATTTGCTCTCAGTTATGGATGGAGAACTTTATACAGCGTTATATCCGGGATGGAGAGAGCAACTGTGGTGAGTTCTGCTACAGAGGTGGCTTTGGGCGAGGAGCTTTAAGGCAGCTCATTCTCGGGCAAATCTGCCTAATACTCGACACCAACCTGGGCAATATAGTGAGACTTCACCTTTGCAAAAAATTAAAAAATAAGCCAGGCATGGTGGTGCATTCTCACAGCCTCTGCTACTCAAGAGGCTGAGGTGGGAGGACTACTGGAGCCCAGGACATCTAAACCAGCTTGGACAACGTAGTAAGACCCTGTCTCTTTTTTTTTTTTTTTTTTTTTGAGACGGAGTTTCGCTCTTGTTACCCAGGCTGGAGTGCAATGGCGCGATCTCGGCTCACCGCAACCTCCGCCTCCTGGGTTTAGGCAATTCTCCTGCCTCAGCCTCCTGTGTAGCTGGGATTACAGGCACGCGCCACCATGCCCAGCTAAAAGACCCTGTCTTAAAAAATTAACTGGGTGTGGTTGCATGCACCTGTAGTCCCAGCTACTCAGGAGGCTGAGGTGGGAAAATTGCCTGAGCTGAGGAAGTCAAGGCTGCAGTGAGTGGACAGAGTGAGACTCTGACTCAAAAAAAATAAAGAAAGGAAGGAAGGAAGGAGGGAGGAAGGGAGGGAGGGAAAGAAAGAGAAGGGAAGACAAGAGAAAAAAAGAGAACTATCTGCCTAGCTTTGCAGCTATAAAACATTCAGTGTTTTCTCACCTGAAGCCAAGTGAACCAGCTTACTTGGCAGTGAGTTAAGACCCTTCTTACAATCTACTTTTTGGCATGTCTTTAGGCTTTTACATAAAACTTCCTAATGAGAAAATTCCCTTTGGCAGAGCAGAACCAGCTCGCTATTGCTGGCATTTCTAAGGAAGAACTGCCTGGGCCATGGGCTGCATTTGCGGGTTACGCCTGCCTTGGCCGAGGCTCAGTGTGATTTGATGGTGAGGTGGCCCCTGGTGTGGGTCTGCTTGAATCAGGTCAAGAAGAGAATTTGGCCCACTCTTCCAGCTGTTTACACAGGCAGGCGCCAAAAACTGGAGCCACAGCAGGCCGAGCTGGTGCCTCTGAGCTCCCTTCCGGGGAGAACATGATATTTTAATGGCAGTCTACTAAGTAAATTTGTTGTTTGGGGAACCAGATGGACGTGACTGGCAGCAAAGACAGTAAGAGCTGACTGCCAAATTCTCTTTCCATTGAATACTATATAAAAAGCAGAAAATAGCCAGCTCTTGGATCATTAGTCCAGTGAGATTATATAACATTTAATAAAATTAGACTTTTTTTTCTTTTTTTGAGATGGAGTCTTGCCCTGTTGCTCAGGCTGGAGTGCATTAGCACAATCCCAGCTCACTGCAACCTCCACCTCCTGGGTTGAAGCGATTCTCCTACCTCAGGTTACCAAGTAGCTGGAGCTACAGGTGTGCGCCACCATGTCTGGCTAATTTTTGTATTTTTAGTAGAGATAGGGTTTGGCCATGTTGGCCAGACTGGTCTCAAATTCCTGACCTCAAGTGATCTGCCCGCCTCAGCTTCCCAAAGTGCTAGAATTACAGGCGTGAGCCACCATGCCCAGCCTATTAAACTTTGCTGCCTAGTAGAGTTAAACTGGGCTTCTCTGCCACTGAATTACTGTTGCAGAGATTTTCACATTAGATTTCTGCAAGGATGTGGAAAGAACAAGGGTCAAGTAGTTTCTGAATTGTTCTCTGGCTGTGAAAAATGTTTTCATGCCATAAACAGCCATACAGATGCTGTATTAAAACCAAGCCAGAACTTTTAGGGGTGGGGGTTGTGATTTTTGGCATTCTGGAATGAATATTTTGATGTGACATATGTATGTGTTTATATAAAAGGCATTGCTATGTAACTGACTGCTTTTAGTTATTTCAGATTATTCTGTTCCCAGGTTAGCATGAAATACCTGATCCGTGAGGCCCTGAAACCCAGTAGATAAAAACAGGGCAATTTTAGGTTGTTCTTGATTTATCTGTGTTTTACCTTGCTGTGCTCTGCTACCAGCCTGATGAGACGTTATCAACTCCATACTGTTACAGACGGTAGGCCACAGGCGGCCTTTACTCACAGGGATTCAGAAATATTTGTTGTGATATCAGAATAAAGTTGTTCCACAAAGAGCCTATAACTGTATCCTCTCTGGTTTTCCTGTGTTTCAGAGTGGAGTATATTCTATGTGACAGTGTTGGCTTTTACTCTTACTGTGCTAACGGGAGGCTTCACCTGGCTTTGCATCTGCTGCTACAAGAGGTACCTAGAGCGCTTATTCTCGGGAAACAGAGACACCACACTGAGTGTGCTATGGCAGCTTAGGTATTGTTTACTTGGGCTTGTTAAACCGCTAAGCTGTTTAATAGCCACATTATCTGTGAAGACAAACTCGACTTGAAGCACACCTTATAATGCACGTTCTACCACAAGGTATAGGTGCCCAGATAAGTGGAATATTAGAGGCGGCTTTTTCTCATTGCAGCTCCTGTGATTTCTAGGAGGTTCAATGGTTCTGTATCAAATCTAATGTTATTCTCTGCCGGTCTCCATTAGAGTCACTAAACTGGTACTGTATTCTCACTCAGCAACAATCAACAGAGGACTGCTGTGACCAGTGTCTGGGAGATTCTCCCCACACACCAGGCAAGCAACAGTGTGCAGTGAACGCCAGCTGGGTGTCCTGCAATTCAGTTTTGATGCTGTCGACCTGGAGATAGTGTCAGATCCCACAGGTTAAGGGCTCCAAGACTGTCCCCCACCCCATTCAGATGCCTGTTACATACTCCAAGTTGTTTTACTTGGGCTTCGGACTATAAATAGGGTCCCTCAGTTCTCTTCCTGAGTTCAGTTAATTTGCTAGGGTGGCTCAAAGAACTCAGGGAAACACAGTGCTTATTACAAAGGATATTACCAGGGATACTGATGAAGAGGTGCACAGGGTGAGGTAGGGGGAAGGGGCCCAGAGCTTCCATGCCCTCTGGGCGTGCCATCCTCCGGGAACCCCACGTTTGACTGTCTGGAAGCGCTCTGAACCCCAGCATCTTGGGCCTTCTCTGAAGACGTCATTGGATATTTATAGGCATGATTGATAACTATGTATAAAAGTAATTGGACATAAAGGGTAGGATTCGATACTAACAGGCTGAGTGGGCAAGCCCAGCAAGACCTGTCCAGATTCTTCTCGCCCCTCTGTAAAGCGCCCCATCCTCCTGGGTAGGAGGCAGAACTCCTTCTGAAATGAGGGTTTTATGACCTATAATCAGACAAAGTAGGTCAGAGAATTTCTTTATAGCCAGACTGGATACAGAAAGGCAGGAGAAGGTTCTTGCCTTGGGGAGAATAAAGAGCAGGTGAAAGGAGGGCAGGAGAAGGTCAGAGAGAGAGGGAGATTCTGTTTTCTGAGGCCCAAAGTGCCCCAGCATTATAAGGGCTGTGGGAATTATTAGCCAGGAACCATGATAAAAACAGACATCTATTTTATATCTATATCACAAGTACCTAAGTGGCCTTCCAGGTCTCAGCAGAGGAAGGAGATCTAGAAGCATACTGTTACAAATAGCAGATTTTGATTATCGTCATTATGTGAAACAATAATCTACCTGAATCATTTTTAATAAGTTTGAAACTGTCATAGAGGCAATAACACCGCCAAAGAGAACTTTAGCTTCGGGTGTTTCCTTTTTCCATGGAGCTGACCTCTGAGAAGCCTCGAGCAGCCTCATTGGCCGAATCTTCCAGAACTCCAAGCTCAGCCCTCAGTGAGGAGACTTGTAGGGAAAGTGATTACTCAAGTCCTTAGAAGAGAGCATCAGGTCTCCTCTTCCATGTGAAACACTACAAATGCTCTCCAAAGATGTGATTTTTTAAAAAGTATATTTTAGGCCTTGCATGGTGACTCACGCCTGTAACCCCAGCATGTTGGGAGGCTGAGGAGGGTGGATCATTGGAAGTCAGGAGTTTGAGACCAGCCTGGCCAACGTGGTGAAACCCCATCTCTACTAAACATACAAAATTATCTGGGTGTGGTGGCGCACGCCTGTAATCCCAGCTACTTGGGAGCCTGAGGCAGGAGAATTGGTTGAACCTGGGAGGTGAAGGTTGTGGTGAGCTGAGATTGTGTCACTCAACTCCAGCTTGGCAACATAGTGAAACTCGGTCTTAAAAAAAAAAAAAAAGAATATATTTTAATAGTTGTTTTTCAGAAATCACTTACAGATTATTTTAGTTTTATTTGTGATTATGTTCCCAAAAGTGAGACTGGGGAAAGGGAGCCAGGCACAGGCACATAGAGGCCTAAATTCCATTATGTTTTCCCAGAGACATATGGGATGGCGTGACCCTACCATGCGTGGCATTAAACATCCAGAGCTTTGTGACATATCTGTCAAGTAGAAGAAGGTGATGGTAGGGACAACTGTGAGCATTTATTAAGTGTTTGCCATTGTGACTAATGGCTAAATGCTTTGTATGTATTATCTTATTTAGTCCTCCCAACAACCATGTGAGAAATGAACTATTCTTACTCCCATTTTACAGGCAAGGGCATGGAGGCACAAAAGTCTCAAATAATTTTCTCAAAGTCACCACCTAGTAAGTGCTAAATTAAGACCCATGCTCCTGATCATCATGGTCTCAGAAAATTGCTTTTATGCTGTGAAATTACTATCTTGTTCTCTACACGCCTTAGCATGGTTTTGATGTGTATTTTCAAACAGCCTCTGTATGTAGGATGAGGTATATGGGACCAGCCTAGCTTTCATATGTGGAGGGGAAAAAAAAAATGAGAAAGGTAGGGGGCAGTTGTTGCTAATTCATTGTGGGAATTTATTATAATTTTTGGTATTTTTTTGTTGTTGCTTTTTGTTTTGATACAGAGTCTTGCTCTGTTGCCCAGGCTGGAGTGCAGTGGCATTGCTCTCGGCTTACTGTAACCTCCGCCTCCCGGGTTCAAGCGATTCTCCTGTGTCAGCCTCCTGAGTAATTGGGATTGCAGGTGCCCACCACCATGCCCAGCTAATTTTTCTATTTTTAGTAGAGACAGGGTTTCATCAGGTTAGTCAGGCTGGTCTCGAACTCCTGACCTCAGTGATCCACCAGCCTTGGCCTCCCAAAGTGCTGGGATTACAGGCATGAGCCACCACGCCCAGTCAATTTTTGCTATTTTTTTTTTTTTTTCTGATTGCGAGTTGATGATGTCTTTTCATTTCTGAGCCATTGGACATTGCAGGGTGGTATAGGTTCAGGGGAACCTTTGCTCATCCAGGCTTTTCTGAGTAAGGAATTACTCATGAAGAGGAGCTCTTTGGGCCAACACAGGTGTTGAGAATTGCACTAAAGGTCCTGGCACCGCAGCCTGAGGCTTAACTGAGACCTGTAGCTAAGTGGGCAAGAGTGATGTGGCTGTTTATACCCAGATATGTGTTTCTCCAAGATGCATAAAGTCCCTCTGAGCTTCAACCTGGCCTTCTATATGCTTCCTTAATAAAAGACCAAAACTACCTCATAATAAAGGCAAAATGTTTCCTTCAGTGTCTTTCCTGTGTTTTAAATCCTGGATCTCAGTTAACTTTCTAAAGATCTGAGTTGAGCTTTTCATTGTTCCTTTCAGACAAAAAAGGACTAAAATCAGGAAGAAAACAAAGTACACCATCCTGGATAACATGGATGAACAGGAAAGAATGGAACTGAGGCCCAAATATGGTAAGACAGTCTCTAGAACCATTGCCTGGCACCTTCACACGATTTAACCTCGGTATGCCTGTGAGCTAACCAGGATGGAGGGAGAACGGTCAGCTGGAGTCAGCACTTTGATTGGGAAGGAAGAGTGAGGCTGGGATTCTGTGGGCAAAAGCAGCCTTCAGGCCAGGCACGGTGGCTCATGCTTGTAACCCAAGCACTTTTGAGAGGCCAAGGCGGGTGGATCGCTGGAGCTCAGTAGTTCGAGACCACCCTGGGCAACATGATGAAACCCTGTCTCTACTAAAAAATACAAAAAAAAAAAAAAAATCAGCTGGGTGTGGTGGCACGCGCCTGTAATCCCAGCTACTCGGGAGGCCGAGGCAGAAGGATCACTTGAGCTCAGGAGGTGGAGGTTGCACTTAGCCAAGATTGCACCACTGCACTCTAGCTTGGGCTACAGAATGAGACTGTCTCAAAAAAAAAAAAAAAAAAAAGGAAAACAACTTTCATCTCTCCTGAGAATATGCTAACGCAGGGTGGGGGTGGGAGGCAGTAGTTTTCATTATAAATTTAATAAATTTTGGCATGATACTTTGAGGCACGCATGGATAAGGGATATGAAGAGTTATCAGTTGAGCACCAACGAGTGACCACAGGGCAAGGACTGCTCTTTAAACAGAGGTGTCCCCAGCACCTGGTTACTTTTCTACTCCTGGTTGGAGGGTGGGGGACAGTGGAACACGCTCCCACAGCACACCTCTGAATGCTGTTCTCTTTAGGTCCACTAGGCCGGAAATGCAGCAAGAAGACACTTGCACTTTAAAGCCTCACATTTTTCAGCAGCTGCGTTATCTACTTAGCCATTGATCTAGATGGCCACAAAGGCTTCACAGAAAATGGGCTTTCCTCACAACGTGTACTGATCCCTGTGCTTACGAGCACCTCTTGCCCACCTTGGTTAACTTTTTCACTCTTGTTTATTAACTGTTGCATACTTTCTTCTTTCTTTTTAAGAGACGGGGTTTCACCATGTTGGTCAGGCTGGTCTTGAACTCCGGACCTTGTGATCTGCCCGCCTCAGCCTCCCAAAGTGCTGGGATTACAGGCGTGAGCCATGCTGCCTGGCCTTTTTTTAAAACTGTTGCACACTTAATGAAACTTCTTTGGCCCTTCTGAGGCTGCTGAACACCGATTCTGTAGATTTTCCCTAATTGTGGATTCATGCCTAAGTGAGTTTTTGTGGAAGATATAATCATTTTCAGAGCTGTGAGGTGCAAAACATTGTTCACAGTGAATGTTGAATGCCTGTGCTATGCACAGATACCGGGGTGGGCCCTGGAGACTGGGAGAGGAGGAAGCACAGAGCCTGCCTCTACAGGAGCTCACAGCCTGAGGAAGGATCATTGTACTGGAGTGCAAGGAGTTCTGCCAGTGCAGGGACGATGCCGGGTAGGAGCACTCGAGTCAGAGGAACGATCGTGTACAGAGTGTAGCGAACAGGGCTGTGGCAGGAGAGCGTCTCAGGAAGTAGACATGGTCGCATATGCTGAGTGCTCGCCATTTGCACTGCGTAACATCATTAGTATTATCAACGGACTTTTTCCTAAGAGCTCAACGTGCTTTAGGCTGCATTGGCACACCCACCTTTATCTTGAAATACACTCATCCTTCTGACATTCCCGTGTCTATTCATAGAACCCCCATCCTCACCACCCCAGTTTGAAACCTCAGTCACGGGTGCTCCGCACACGCCGCCCCCCACTCCAGACCCCCCAACCTTGCTAGTCTCTTGCCCTCTTTCCTCATCATTACCATCGCCACCATAGTTCAGGTCCTTACAGTTTCACCTGTGAACTATTAGTAATAATAACCATTAACAGATATTTAATGTTGAACACGTACTAGGAACTTTTGAAGCACTTTACTCATTGAATTCTAATCCTACCCACAGCTCGGTGAGGTATGTACAATGATTATCCCCATTTTACACAAGAGGAAACTGAGGCAAGGGAAAGTTTAGCAGCTTGCCCAAGTAACGCATCTGGTGAGTGTTGAAGGTGGGCTGCAGGCCGGGCTCTTCCCCTACACTGCACTGCCTCCGCCTTGGCCCTCGGGGGCCGCTCGCTCTAACAACACGCCACAGACGGGGAAGCTTATGAACAACAGGGATTTATTACCCAGAGTTCTGGAGACTGGGAAGGCAAATTCAGCATCTGGCCAGGGCTACTTCCTAATAGACGGCGCCTTCTCCCTGCATCCTCACATGGTGCAAACGGCAAGGCAGCCTCTGGTGCCTCTTTTTGTTTTGGAGACAGAGTCTCTAACCTCCAGGCTGGAGTGCAATGGCATGATCTCAGCTCACTGCAACCTCCACCTCCCAGGTCCAAGCGATTTTCATGCCTGTTTCTCAAGTAGTTGGGATTACAGGCACCTGCCACCATGCCCAGCTATTTTTTTTTTTTTTTTTTTTTTTGTATTTTTAATAGAGACAGGGTTTCAACCATGATGGCCAGGCTGGTCTCGAACTCCTGACCTCAGGTGATCCACCCTCCTTGGCCTCCCAAAGTGCTGGGATTACAGGTGTGAGCCACCGTGCCTGGCCTCTGGTGCCTCTTTCATGTGAGTAATAATCCCCTTTGATCACCGCCCGAGGCCCCACCTCTTAGTACCACCATTTAGGGATTAGATTTCAGCACATGAATTTGTGGGGGTGCAAACATTCAGACCCCAGCAGCCTCTGTGTTTACTGTCTGTTCTCCTTCCATCCTGCACACTGTGGTTTTATGCATATCTTAGAACAACATTTTAATAGTGTCATTCCTCTGCTTATAAGATAAAATCCAAACTTCGTATTCACGTGCTTTTCTGTGAGGTCCCTGCCTCTCTCCAGCCTCTCCTTCATTATTTCCTACATGAATCATTTGCTCCAAATTAGTTTTTTTCTAAATATTCCTGGATGCCTCTGCACACTCCATGCCCTTCCCCTGCCCTCCGAATTTCTCTTCCTTCTTCAAATCTCACTGATAGAGACAGGAGACAGCCAAGGGTCCCTGAGAAAGGCCACCTTCAAGCCTAAAACAGCCTGAAGGCAGAAAAACCGGACTGCTGAGTCCTGATGAGGGCCCCGCCCTTCCCCAGCTGATCCTCTGTCAATAATGCCCACCTGTGCACTGCGGGAAGGGGAGGGAGCCACGGAAGTTCGCGTCATTTGCAGTGGGGCGAAGGCTGCCTTTTCAGTTCCTGTGTGGTCACCTGGAATTCAGTCTGTGAGGAGAGACGGTGTTGGCAACACTCCCTATTTGCTCAGAGTTTTTCTTTCTTTACTTTTTGCCCAATAAGTTCCATTTTTCTCACCTCTCTATGTGTCCAAGAGCCTCATCTTTCCTGGCAGTGTGACAGGAACCCGGTTAGCTGAATAAGGAGAAGGTTCTGCAACATCACCCTACGGGAATCGTCACTGCAGCAACCCCCGTCATAAGTGTACGTGCTTATCGCCTCTGAATTTATAGAAGATTTTTAAAAATGTATTACCTGTTGTGAGCCATCTTCTCATGAGTCTGTGCCTTTTATGTCTTTTTTGTTTTTCTTCCTGAGACAGGGTCTTGCTCTGTCACCCAAGCTGGAGTACAGCAATGCAACCACAGTTCACTGCAGCCTCGAACTCCTGGCCTCAAGTGATCCTCCTGCCTCAGCCTCCCAAAGGGCTGGGATTACAGGCATGAGCCACCATGCCCTGCCAAGTCTATGTCTTAAACCGCTAGCTAGACACTATAAATTCTTTGAGAGCAGGAATTGTATCTAATACCTGTTCTGTCTCTTGGTTTGACCCCCTGAGAACAAATAGTCTACCAAAAATACTTTAACCAAGTGGTAAAATCACAGCAGCTTTCATTTGTCGGATGCTTATGATGCATTAAAGGCTGGGCCAAGAGCTCGAATGCACTGTTTCACTTAATCCTCCCCATAAACTCAGGGGTAGATGCTGTATTACCTTCCCCATAAAGACTGAAAGCTCAGAGAGCTCAGCTCAGGTATCTTGCCCAGGGTTAAGCAGCTGGCGAGTCAAAGCTGCGGCTGAAGCTCTGGTGAGGCACCAAAACCCCTGCAATTACTTGCTAGGAAACCCAAACTCTGCTGCTGTGGGCCATTGCTCTCCAGGTGCGCAGAGCACCGCTCGGCGCTCACCACGGGCCCTGCAGCCAGACGACTGGCAGCCGGAAGTGAATCGTGGCAGTCCTCCTCAGGGCTTCTCTGCTTCTCTCTAGGTATCAAGCACAGAAGCACAGAGCACAACTCCAGCCTGATGGTGTCCGAGTCTGAGTTTGACAGTGACCAGGACACAATCTTCAGCCGAGAAAAGATGGGGGAGAGAGGGAATCCAAAGGTTTCCATGAACGGTTCCATCAGAAGTGGAGCTTCCTCCAGTTATTGCTCAAAGGACAGATAATGGAGCAGTCCGTTGGGAACCCTTGAATCCAGCACCAGTCAGTGTGAGTTACGGCACATAACCCACTCTTTTCGAATAGTTCATTTACATCCTTTGACAATGGGCTAGGTGTGTATCTCCATGTCTTAAAAGACCGGTTTTTGAGGCACAAAACAAAAGGTTGGTCTTTTAACTGGGCTGCTTGTTAACAGAAATAAAGGCTGGGCAAAACTCTAAGGTATATACTTAAAAGAGTTTTGTGTTTTTGTAGCTGGCACAATATCATATTGCTCATGTTAAAGATGAACAACTCTTTCTATAGAACCTTAGAGAAGGTGGATTAAATAAGGATTTACAGAGGGATGATTTCTCTCTTAGCAGCTGTGACTGCCTCTAAGGAATAGCATTCTAAACATGGTTTATCTCGTAAGACCTGTAGTTAGACGGCTGTTAAAACAGCTTATCTAAGAGGCATGGGTTGTCTTCTGCGGAGGTGTGGAGGGTCTGGCCCGCAGCAAGCTTTCTGCCGACAACCCTCACACAGTGCACAGCTCCCCTGGTTTTTAATTCTGGGCTGTCAGTGGCAGTTTCCTTCTCTCGAGAAAGCAGCTGTGGGCAGTTGAAGAGCTGAGGAAGAATTGTGTTCTCAGGACTGAGGCCAAGGGAAGGCGCGGAGGAGCCAGGTTGAAGGTAGCATTTTAACATTATCTTTTCTTCCTCTAAGAAAAACTGCACTGAAGCTTCTCGGTGTTGTGTAGTGGGATAATTCTCTAATGTAAACCGAGCCCCAGTTTACATTAAATGCAATAGAAGTGATTCATTCATTAAATATTTACTCTGTTCTGTAGGCTGTGCATTTGGACTGCCGTAGATAGGGGTAACGACTCAGCAATTGTGTATATATTCCAAAACTCTGAAATATAGTCAGTCTTAACTTGGATGGCGTGTTTATGATACTCTGGTCCCCGACACCCAACAGGTGCTTTCCAAAAGAATCGGACGTAGATATATTCACTTCCTATGTTTAAAAATACATTTAAGGCCCAGCGTGGTGGCTCATGCCTGTAATCCAAGCACTTTGGAGGCCAAGGCGGGCGGATCACCTGAGGTAGGGAGTTCAAGACCAGCCTGACCAATATGGTGAAACCCCATCTTAAAAAAAAAAAAATACGTTTAAGTTCACTCCAGCCTGGGCCACAAGAGCGAAACTCCATATCAGAAATATATATGTTTAAGTTTTTCTACTGAATAAATCTTATTTCAATCATGAAAGAAAATTAAAATATTCCCACCCACAAAGCAGGACTCCAGAGCTATAATTAACTGGAGTTAATTATAGCCTGCTGAGTTGACTGGTTCAGGGTAGTTCCCCATCCGCCCTTGGCCCTGAGGGTGGTGGCTTTGGTGGTGCCTTTGGCATTCTTTGTGGGAAGATTAGAATGAGAGAGAGAACCAGTGCTGTGACCACACCTAATAGCCTGTTGCGCAGAGCTTTTGTAACACATGGGAAAACTGGGATTGCATTGCTGATTAATAAGCAAGGTATTTAAACAACCAGGGCAGGAGTGCCAGAGAAAATGTTTCTCCATGGGCTCTTAAAAAAAAATTCAGCTTGTAGGTATTTTTGTCATCTTCAGGACTATTCATCCTCATGGGACATTTACTGGGAAAAGGTAGAACCAAAAAGTGTGAGTGTTGTTCTATTTTTAAATTAATTCTTTTGCTTATGCCTATACTTTGTGTAACTAGCCAATTCAATACTGTCTATAGTGTTAGAAGGAAAATGTGATGCTTTTTTTTTTAAAAAAAAAAAAAAAAACCAACATTAAAAAAAAAAAAACAGTATTGAGCTTCATAAGCCTAGAATCTGCCCTAACAAGTGACCAAGGGTATGGTTTTTCGCATGCAAATGGGAATTTCTCGCGTGGAGGACAGCAGCCCAATTGTGAAGTTATCGGACATAATGCTGAAGAAGGGAGTGGACACTTAATGCTTCACCCACATAACGTATGCATTTTACATACTCAGTTGATCCTTAGGACCAACCTTGAAGAGGAGACACTATTACTCTGATGTTGCAGATAGCCCTCTGAAGGCCCAGAGAGGTTAAGTAGCTTGCCAAGGGTCAGGGCCAAGAAGTAGGGGATCTAAGAACAGAATGCAAATGTTTTGAACTGTGAATTGTGCTTTCCACTACACAAAGAATTCCTGCCTTGATGGATGGAGGGCAAATTCTGGTGGAACTTTCAGGCCACCTGAAAATTCTGTTCCCAAGACTAAGAGGAATTCCTTTTAATGGGTGCAGAGAGCCAAGGACGGAGGGAGAGGTGGCCTGCCTGGTCTCCTGTGGACCACACCGGGCCACCCCTCCCTGTAGGCTTGCTGTGTACTTCTGCCCTCCTCCTTTCCTGTCCTTGGCCATCTGAGCCTGGCCTCTGATCCTTCCATCACAGGAAGGATCTTGAATCTATGGGAAATCAAGCATCACAGTAGTGATCGGAGAGTGGGTCCTGTCTTGTTACCCCATTTCTCAGCAGAACCCAGCACGAGATGGAATGACCAGCCAGCAGTCTTCATGGTGGACTGGTAGTCACTTATTATTGAGGGTCTTTGGGAGATAAAGCACCCGAAGAGCTTTGGACAGTGAAAAACAGGCCCCAGAATATGGGAGTGGGTGTTCAGAGGGCTCACAGGCTAACAAGCATTTTAGTTGCTGGTTTACATTCTATGAAGGCGGATTCAAACCCATGGCATGACAAGGCTAAGCATGTGTATGACTAAAGGATTATCTGAAAACCATGCAGTGAGGTGGGAAAATGTAGCACTTAATAAGCTGCGATGCTACCCTTTGTGCGCGGGGAGGGCGTGACTGCCGTTTTTCGTGAGTGACAAAGCTATTATGGACTGTTTTAATCTTGGTTTTATTTCTTAAAATATTTTTCCCTATATGTTGACAAGGTATCATTTCTAATATAACACTATTAAATATATGCACTAATCTAAAGGTGTCTGTATTTTCTGTAATGTTTAGTTATTTTTAGGGGGAAATTTGTTTTCTTCATGCTAAATTGTAGAGGCGTTTCCCTTGAGTATGGGTCAGCACACTGTGGCTTGCAGCTTGTATGTGCACGCCCCACGAGCCGAAAAGTGGGTCTTATGTTTTCAAATGGTTAAAAATAAATCAAAAAAATGTTGAAACATGTGAGCTATATGAAATATAGATTTGTGTTGATAAAGTTTTATTGGAACACATCCGTATTCATTTACGTATTATCTATGGCTGCTCTTATGTTACAACCAAGTAGTTTTGACAGGGACTGTCTGCAAAGCCTAAACTATTTACTCTCTGGCTGTTTATAGAAAAAAAAAATTGTGGAAGCCTGGACTAATATCCTCTGCTCCTTCCCTGTTGGAAGACAAGCATTTGGGAAGAACTGAGAATGCTCAGTCAACTTGCCTTCCTCTGCGTGAGTGGCTCTCTGCTATTTTTTTTTTTTTTTCTTTTCTTGAGATGGAGTTTGGCTCTGTTGCCCAGGCTGGAGTCCAGTGGCTCAATGTTGGCTCACTGAAACTTCTGCCTCCCTGGTTCAAGCAATTCTCTGCCTCAACCTTTCACGTAGCTGGGATCACAGGTGCCTGCCAACACACCCAACTAAATTTTTTGTATTTTTAGTAGAGAGAGGGTTTTACCAACTTGAAGAGGCTGCTCTTGAACTCCTGACCTCATGATCCACCTGCCTTGGCCTCCCTAAGTGCTGGGATTATAGGCGTGAGCCACTGCACCTGGCCAGCTCTCTGCTAGTAACAGGAGGTCTATCCCTAGTGCTAGAAGGCCTGCAGTGTGTTGGGTGACTAGATTCGGGGGAGAGTATACTTACACTACATCCTCTAATCTAGCTCTTATCAGTAATAGAGCCATTTTTTAAGATAGCATATTGAGGGCTGGCCATGGTGGCTCATGCTTGTCATCCCAGCAGTTTGGGAGGCCAAGGTGGGTGGATCACTTGAGTCCAGGAGTTCAAGACCAGCCTGGGCAACATGGCCAAACCCTGTCTCTACAAAAACACACACAAAAAAATTTAGCTGGGCATTGTGATGCATGCCTGTAGTCCCAGCTACTCAGGAGACTGAGGTGGGAGGATTGCTTGAGCCCTGGAGATGGAGGCTGCAGTGAGCAGAGATTAGGCCACTGTACTCTAGCCTGGGTGACAGAATGAGACCCTGTCTGAAGAAAGGCAGATTGAGGTATAATTCACCTAAACTGCGCAACCATCATTCTCAGCAAACTGACACAAGAACAGAAAATCAAACACCGCATGTTCTCACTCATAGGCGGGTGTTGAACGGTGAGAACACATGGACACAGGGAGGGGAGCACTACACACTGGGGTCTGTTGGGGGGAAATAGGGGAGGGACAGCGGGGGGTGGGGAGTTGGAGAGAGAGAGCATGGGGAGAAATGCCAGATATAGTGAAGGGGAGGAAGGCAGCAAATCACACTGCCATGTGTGTACCTATGCAACAATCTTGCATGTTCTTCACATGTACCCCCAAACCTAAAATGCAATAAAAAAAAATAAACTGCACATAGTACAATTTTGCTGCTTTGATGTATGTGCATATCTGTGAAACCATGACCACAATAAACTGTTGAACAAATATAATTACCCATAAATGTTTCCTCATGGCTCTTTGTAATCCCCCTCCCTTGGCAATCACTAGAGATTAGCTTGTATTTTTGGAGTTTCATGTATAGTAGTACTGTGTACTGTACATGTATAGTATACTATGTTTCCCCTCAAACAAGTCCCTTCATTTCCAGGCTGTGTTAACTCCTTTAGCAACTGTGAACAAAAGTTCTCTGAAAAAGAATGTGAAGGAAAGAGACTTTATTGCATGAACAGCTTCCAAACCACAGAGATACAGCCTTCTGTGTAAAACAGATGTGTTTTAAAAAGCAAAGCAAGGGGGCCGGGCGCGGTGGCTCAAGCCTGTAATCCCAGCACTTTGGGAGGCCGAGGCGGGTGGATCACAAGGTCGAGAGATCGAGACCATCCTGGTCAACATGGTGAAACCCCGTCTCTACTAAAAATACAAAAAATTAGCTGGGCATGGTGGTGCGTGCCTGTAATCCCAGCTACTCAGGAGGCTGGGGCAGGAGAATTGCTTGAACCCAGGAGGCGGAGGTTGCGGTGAGCCGAGATCACGCCATTGCACTCCAGCCTGGGTAACAAGAGC